TGGTGAATTGTATGTACACGTGTACGGTGGCTGATGCAACCACACGGGTGTCGAAATTCCATGGCATCATCACTTCTTCCCGTGCCTAGGTTATGGTTTTCAACTTTTCAGTAATACCACGCAAAACCACCATTCACTTTCTGGATTAGCATTTCACCATTATCTTTATCTAACACAGAGTCCATAATTAACACATTATTTTATCACCCTTTAAGCTGTTAGTGAAAATTGCATGGTTTGGTGAAATAATCTTTATTTTAATACGAAAATTCTGTATATTTATTTATTAAGGACTCGTTTGATAACTATTTTCTTTTTTCTTTTTGAGAAATTGAAAATAAAAAAACTTGTTTGGTACCCAATTTTTGTTTTCAACAAATCTGAAAACTAAAAAATGTTTAACAATTGTTTGGTAACAGATTTCAATTTAATATGGAACTTGGATATTGAATTTTGTTGGGGTCAAATTGTCAATTTGAGATCATTGAATGAAAGTGCATATTACAAATAGTTCGAAGTATTTTTTGGAGTTAGGATAATTTTTTTTTGGTGAATTTTGGATATGGAGGTCCCAAGGAAGGCTTGAAATCGGTTTGTGGCCGAATGCAAGAGTTGAGCGTCTGGGTTCAAGTTGGGAGGTCCCAAATATTGACTTTTGTTAACTGCAACACAATGCATGTATGGTAATGTAAAATTGGTGAATAACAAAGGAGTACAACAAAAGTGAAAACGAAAACTGAAAACACTTTCAAGTTGTTTTAAAAAATAAGGGTGACTTTGAAATTTATATTTCAGTTTTTTGAAAACAGAAAACAAAATTTGTTACCAAACATGTTTTTAGTTTTTAGCTTTAAAAAAAAGGGAATTAAATGATTATCAAACAACCCCTAACTTGTTTAGTAAGTTTTTCTTATTTTATACAAACGATATTAGAGGGAAGGGATAATCGAATTTAGGATCTCGAGTACATGCCTCTTAACCACTACAAGCCCCTTGCAAATAACTAATATAGGTTATTGTGTCATTTATAATTATTTGTGAATAACCATGTGCCACATTTAATAAATAACTAATTTAAAATCACACAAAAAAAAATTGTCTATGTAGAGTAGATTGTGATTATATATATGTAACATAATTTTTTTAATAAAAAAAATCTACGAATAAATTGGTGATGGGATAGTCACTGTGGTACTAGGCAGGTGAGGGAATTAACGGCGTTAAGCGAAAATAACAGCGAGCGGTCCCTTTGAGGCTATGTGCTTTGCTTTGGTAATTATGAAGGAGCTGATTTTATTGGGATTCTGAGAAGACCAATGTCAGAAAAAATGAGTTAAACTACCATCGCTTAAGTTTAACTTAAATTAAGTTAAAAAATTTATAATGCAAATGCAGAGTGGTGGTGTTGAGTTGGAGGAGGCCCTTCAAACCTTCCACATTTGCCACAGTGCAGAGTGCAGGTTCAAAACTCACGGTCATGGCTCCTCTCCTCTCCTCTTCTCATGCAATATTCTGTTACATTGTCAGATTATCTCTATGGCACTATAATATCTTTTTTTTTAATTTTAAATATTATTAATAACTTTGCCTTTAAAAAATATAACAAAAACAAATAATATTAAACTAATGAATAAAAGTCCAAAGCTTTTTAAATAAAGCTTGGTCCATGACCATAGAAATAATGGTGGACTGAAGAAAAAGCTAGAAAGGAAGAAGGACGTGGCAATGGCATAGCAAGCAAATAGTATAGCAAATGCTTTGCTTTGCTTCCTTCCACCATATTTATTATTTATTTATTTATTTTGTGTTGTGTATGAGATGACAATAATTGTCATGTATGCGAACTGCAAAACTTACCCAGATTGCACTTACACTCGCTCATCAATCAACCATTGATTAGAGTTTGGATCTATAAATAAAACACATATTATTGCTTGTAATGCACAAAATCATTACATTAAAATTGGTCATAATTTAAATACATACACATTCACTTCAAAATCCTCTTTCATATCATATGTTGAAATACAATGTGAATTGCGGATGGGTTTGCTGGCCAAGGCAGTGAATATGCTATTTCATTCTCAATTTAAATTATCCATCTCCCCGTAAATTAGACTATTTAAATTATCACTTGTATAAAAATATATGAATTACTCACAAATTATAAGGGAGTTTCACTAAAACACCCAAAATGGGGGTTGAAATTATAAAAAAAACAAACACCCAAAACACTTTATAAACACACCCAAAACCTATCATTACACACACTCAAAACCCATTTATAAACACACCCAAAAAATATACAATTGTTGATTTTAAGGTTGATTTTGGGTGTGTTTCTATGTTTAAATAGTGCTTGGGTTTTTTTATAAATACATGTCTAGGATTGGGTTTATTTATAAATTTGTAAAATTATAATTAGTCTCAATTTTTATTTATTTTTCTAATGTAGTCCACTAAAGTTTAATTAAGCAATGTCATCTTTTAATGGTTTGGGAAATTGTGCCTTTCCATCGTTGAACATATTAAATAGTTATTGTACTGGATCATTGTTCCCCACCCAGTATCCTAATTAATATTTATCCTAATTAAGTCACTGCCATTGCTTGTTTAAAAAAAGTATTAAAAATTGTAGTGGCATTAGAAAAAGAATGCATAATGAGATTGGAACATAAGAATCTTTGTCCCGGAATAACAAAAAAACATGATCGTGGATGAGACGCCACGCTGTAAACGATTCGCTATAACCCTCGATCGCTCCACAATAAGTAATTTTTTTTTCTTTTTCTTTTTATTTAAATTTTTTTTTGGGTTGGAGAAGTTTGGGTTCTGTCGTAGCTCCAATATAACAATATAAGCAAATTTACATCGGATTCCATTAAATTGCGTTTAAAAAATATGCAATTATTTAGGACCCCACTAACACACCAAATTAAACTCATTCGATTCCAATTTCCAAATATGAAATCAACCATTCAAATGATAGGCCAAGCGCCAACTGTCTCGATTCTCATGAGTCATTGCCAGCCATATAAAAATGCTCATATATTGGCTACACAAAATACTTGGAGGGGAAGGGGCTTTTATGTGTTTTTTTTTAATTTTTTTTTAATAAAAACGATATTAGGGAAGAAGGGATTCGAACACATAACATGACCTCGGGTGTATAAACATCTATTCTTAACCGCTTGAACTACAAACCATTTCTAACTTCTATCTTTTTGTTAGAGCATTTCAATCAGACAACCCTTGCCAGGGCAACAGGGGGCCCAAGCCCCGTTTCATGATTCCAGCGGCATTAAGCTGCCAAAGCAGCTGCTAGGGCCCACGAAACCGGGCTAGCCCTCAGGCAAAATGAGCCCGAGCTCAAGCCGGGTTTGCTGACGTATGCAATGACGTCAGCAACAAAATTTTTATAAACAAAAATTTAAAAAAAATTTCAGATTTATAAATAATAAAAAAAAACTTAGTTATATTTTTTCACTTCCCACTTCAAAATTTTATATAAATTTCTCTCATCATATCTTATGTGAATTGTTGTTGCCATGACAAATGAATAGAAGTGCTCTTATATCTTTTAAGTTGTAATTGATTCGGGGTACAATTAGCAGAACCGAAAAAGTATCAGTTAGTATAACAAAGTGGGCATTTTGGTAAATATGATGTGGGCCCATTTTTGAATGAGAACGGGTAAAATGAGAAACTGGAAAGATGTTTCATGGACCTCCCAACTAGCAGCCTTCCCAAACGACAAACCAAGCCGTAGTCTGTGGGGTGACCTTTTTCCTTAAAATAATCTGATGTATTATTTTGTCAAAATTACACACCTAAATTTAGTTTTTTTTTTCTTCTTCTTATTAATTAAACACGAAAGATTTTAAGCCTTTGAGAACTCAAATCCAGAAATAAATGTATGAGTTTAAATCCAATATTTTCTTTTTCAGTCTTCATTACCAATAACCACTTAGAAACAAACTTATTTATTTTCTTTACAATTTTATCACTTCCGAATTACATATTTAGTACCGTTCGTCGATATGATTTCAAGTATGTGGATAAAAAGTTTAATGGTAAGTATAAATCAACAAAATCTTAAATAATTTATTATAACAATTATATTGAATGGTTGAATATAATCTCGAACAAGTATTATGCAAATAAGAAAAGATCACTCATATGCAATGCCTTCTTTTTATCTATCAAAAACTCATACGCAATATCTCTGGATCAAAGTAGGATCTCAAACAAAGTTCTATGTCTCAAGTTTTAGGTTTATTTATCTTAGTATGACTGGTTGGTCCTTAGGTCTCTTTCCTTTGCTTTAAATTCCCCTGTCCGAGCTCGTTTGATAGATTATTTTAGGTGGTTATTGTTATAGGGCTGTTCTTTTACTTCTTATTCAAGTTAGATATATTATTTACCGTATTTAATCTAATTTTTTTAATTTATTTTTATCGTATTGATCCTTAAATTTCATTTTTTTTTCATCTTTGGCCGCTAGTCGTTAGCTCCCATCGTGCTCGTGCAAAAAGCCTAAAAATTGAAAGAAAGTAGAGCGAGAAAGAGTGAGTTAATTTGAGAGAGAGAAAGTGAGGGGCATTGTTAGTGTAAGAAAAGTAGAGGGAAAATGACAAGAAAGGAAGAAATGTGCAGTTCTTTAAATGTGAAAGTAGAGAGAGAAAACGACAAAGTGCCAAAGTTGGTTCTTTTGTGAGAGAAAAGAGAGAGAAAGGGGTGAGCAGTTTTATTGGATTTTTGTGTTGAAGTTCAAGCAGAACCACCTCACCCTGCAAAGTTTGCTTGCTTCATTTGGGTTTTTGAGAGAGAGAGAGAGGGAGAGAGGGAGAGAGAGAGGTCTTGTGTGGTGGTCATGATCAGTGTGCTTGAGCTCTAACCTACACTACTGGGTCTGTGTGTAGTGCAGCACTGTGAGAGTGAAAGAGAGAAAGCTCTGTTTTTTTAGTATTTTGGGTATTTTGTTTTGGTGGGTTTACCAAATGGGTTTTGCTCAGTTAAGCAGAGGGAGGTCAAGGAGAGCTCTAGCTCTGGCTCTTTGCGTATGGAGCTTGATCTCTCTGTCTTGTGCTGCTAGATTGACTGATTCCTCAAGGCAGAAGCTTGATGTCCAGAAGCACCTCAACCGCTTGAACAAGCCCGCCGTGAAAAGCATCAAGGTTTCTTTTTTCTCTCTTTCTCTTTTACTTTACATTATTCTTTCCTCATTCAACTTTCTTGCGGTGTGTTTGATTTAAAATAAAAAAGGGCTTTCTTGCTTTTGTTGTTCTCCCTCTGTTAGATTGCTGGGAAAGTGGAAGAAAGTGAAGAAAAAAATGTTTTTTCTGTTGTTCGTTGCATTTGGTATAAATGTTGATGTGTTTAATTCTGAGAAGGTGTTTATTCATCGTTTTCTCAGTAACCAAATGGGGGTGTAAATGCAAATGGGTTTCTTCTGTGCTTCACTCCGGTTCTAGGATTTTCACTATTTTTTTATTGCGGAAGCTTGGTATTAATTTTTTTTAAAAACAAAGCAATGATTTCCTTATCGTTTCCTCTTTCCTCTCACTCTACAATGATTTCCTTTTAAAAGGAGTTAAAGAAAACCAGCAAAATGAAAAGAAAAAACTGAAGCAATATTGTAAAAATTAGGCCTCATTTGTTATCACCAAACATTGTTTCACTGAGCAGGCATAACATAAATGCAACTTACTACTTTGCTTTAATTTAGTTTTCTCAGCCTTAGAAAGTTTCTCTGTCATCATACATGTGCACTGCTTTTGTTTTAAGATCTAACATGCTACTCTTCTGATTTTTGATGGATATCAGAGCCCAGACGGGGACATAATAGACTGCGTTCATATCTCTCAGCAAGCTGCTTTCGATCATCCTTACCTCAAAGACCACAAAATCCAGGTCCATTTTCCTCAACCATGCATCTTTGTTGTCGACAATTTTTTCCTTTTATTTTATGCCTGGAATCTAACTTTACTGGGGTCTGTTTGGTTTATCAGATGAGGCCTAACTACCACCCAGAAGGGTTATTTAATGAGAACAAGGTATCTGAAAAAACAAAAGAAAGATCAAACCCACAAGTCCAGCTATGGCACGCGAATGGTAGATGCCCTGAAGATACTATACCCGTTCGGAGAACAAGGGAGGATGATATTCTGAGAGCAAGCTCAGTCAAAGCATATGGAAGGAAGAAGCAGAGATCCATACCAAAGTCAGCAGATCCTGATCTTGCCAATGAGAGTGGTCATCAGGTAAACTTTTGTTTGCAATGAAAGAAAACAAGTGTCTGTATTCTTTAAACATTTTCTATTAGCTTTCTGAATTTTGTTTAACTGATCTTATTCTTTTGTGGTGATTAGCATGCAATAGTTTATGTCAATGGAGATAAATATTATGGAGCAAAAGCAACCATAAATGTCTGGGAACCCAAGATACAACAACCTAATGAGTTCAGCTTGTCTCAGCTGTGGATATTAGGAGGGTCTTTTGGTGAAGATCTGAACAGCATTGAAGCTGGTTGGCAGGTATTATAATTTATATCTTAATCAAGGCCAACAATAATGTTGCCCAAATTTACCGAGTTATTTATTTTCGTTTTTAGACATGAATTACTGATATTGATTCATGTTTGTGCGCTGCAACAGGTCAGCCCAGATCTCTACGGTGACAACAACACAAGACTGTTTACCTACTGGACTGTAAGTTTCTAAATCATCATTTTCTCATACTTTTTGGGTTTGCATTTTGGTTTCTCTAGTCTTCTTCGCTTATCTCATTGGGTTTTCCCCATTTTGATGGCTATGCTAATATGTTTTCCTTGCATGCTTCCTCTCTATGATTATATTGCAGAGTGATGCATATCAAGCCACTGGTTGCTACAACCTCCTCTGCTCAGGCTTTATTCAAATCAACAGTGAGATAGCAATGGGTGCAAGCATCTCTCCTGTGTCCGGCCTTCGAGGATCCCAATATGATATCAGTATACTCGTCTGGAAGGTAAAAGCCAAAGCCAATTTTGGATCAGACCACATAAGAGTATGAGGTAAAAGAAACCAAAAGAGAAGAAATGGAGCTAATAATAATCTGCTAAAGGAGGCATGTGAGGATGGATGAAAAAATATATCCTCACATTTGCAATTTTTGAGGGTTGGGGGTCAGAAAATCATTGCGATTTGGATGTATAGAATCTTTTGGCGTTTCCTTTTGATCACTGATTCCCATCACTGTGCTGACATTGACAAGTTCCAAACTTGTATTTACCTTTCACTGCATCTGCATTCTTCTCACGGGAAAGATAAGATAAAGAGCATTGTCTTGTCACTCAGTTGTTTTGCTTAAGCTATAGGAGACCCTTTAAATACAGGAGTAGATAACTTAATTACTTTTATTTACTATTCTTTATTCACTTGGGAAAACTTTATTTGTGTTTTGTAGGATCCAAAAGAGGGGCATTGGTGGATGCAGTTTGGCAATGACTATGTGTTGGGTTATTGGCCTTCTTTCCTCTTCTCATACTTGGCTGACAGTGCTTCCATGATTGAGTGGGGAGGTGAAGTTGTAAATTCAGAGCCTGATGGGCAGCACACCTCTACTCAAATGGGTAGTGGACGTTTCCCCGAGGAGGGATTTGGGAAGGCAAGTTATTTCAGGAATATTCAAGTTGTTGATAGCTCCAATAATCTCAAGGCCCCCAAAGGGTTGGGCACCTTCACTGAGCAATCAAACTGTTATGATGTTCAAACTGGCAGCAATGGGGATTGGGGGCATTACTTTTACTATGGAGGCCCAGGTAAAAACCCAAATTGCCCATGAAGTAAAAAAGAAAACCTATTTCACCCTCCCTCCCTCCCTCTACTTTTCCTATGTATCATTCAATCTTAGTGTAATACCTTTTCTTCTCCTTTGTATACCCTTTTTCACTCTTAGGTTGGGCAAGTAGCAGTAGTAATGTGACCCTTTCTGTAGTGGGAAGTTTTGACTCTTTGTTTTTTAGTAAAAGAAGAATCTCCATGTAAGTGGATATGTGAAGGTGGCCAAGTTTCTCAAAAGCCTAAAGAAACGAGGTCTTTTTATTGTATTCTCTTTTGTTTGTATACTCCTCTCTTGGAGTGGCTTGTTAAGTGAATGAAATGAATGAGTTTAGTTTCGGGTCCTAATCTTTCGAGCAAAGCAAAGCACTGTATACTATATATAATATTTGCAGATTCTGCTTCTGTTTGCGTTGAAATGCTCACTTTTATCTTTTAAATTTTTTCTTGTTTGTTCTTCCTTCCTTTCCTGCTATTTTATGCAGACTTGTTTTGGGTGGGGTGGGGGGGTGGTGCCGTAGAGAATATGCTGTTTGAAGAGAAAGGTGGTTGTGGATGAGATTTTGCATGTGAGTGGATGACAGTCTAATATTTAAATTTATATTTCATAGGCTTTTGTGGTGTATCCATCACCTTTCGTTATAAGATTTAGATTAGATGCCCCACCAGAGTCACACAGACACTTCTCTTGTACCACTCACCACCACCCCCACCCCCACCAAGAAAGAACACCCATTTCCTTTTTCCTTTCTTATTTTTAGCATTTAACAAATAAATAATGCGGTCCTCTTTGGAAATCCATTAAAGGTTCTTTCTTTATTTCATTCTAAACGTAAATGTTCATCTTCCATTCCAACTGAGATTCCTTGTTGTCCTTGACTAAAACTAAAAGGGTGTCTAAAGCTAAATGCATTTTTACACGACCATAAATGTATGGACAGGTTCGTTCGAGTCTTTTTCAGCCAACTAACTTATTTGTTATGTTATGTTATTTTAGAAGCAAAATGTTACCTACCACCTGGTTCCTGGTTTTGAACAGTGAGGACTTAATTTTGTGGTGGTGGGACTGGGTGAAGCTAATTCTTAACATCATCTTGTTTGTATTGAACTTTGGCATATGGCTTTCTGATCCTATCTATGGATTACAATTTTCTGTTTGTTGTACAGTGCTCTACAAAACTTTGATTTTTTTATTTTATGTCATTCATATGCCACTAAATAAATGTTATGAAAAAAATAAGGTGAGAGAGAGAGAGAGAGAGAGATTCAAAGAGGAGCTTCTTCAATCAAAAATCTTGTGAGGCTCCATTTGGAATGTGAGATTTCAAATCAAGAGATAAGCTAATTTTTTTAATTTTTTAATTTATCAAAAGGTAAATTTTATTAGTTAAACTTCAACAATACAATTAAAGACATCAACATGACATCTAAAGTACCAATCCAAAACTAACATGTTAAAAATAAAATTAAAGCGGACAAAAGCCGCACTAGTTCACATCACCACAATTAATCATAAGCTTAGACAAAGCCCACATACCCAACCTAATTGAAACTCTAAAGCAACTCATGAGCCTAAACGAACCTTACCACAAACTAAATAAGCGTCGTCATGGCCACATGCACCACCATTTTCGTAACAGATATGGGAAAAACATGATTTTTAGGGATCTACATACGCATAAGAGCGAACAAATAAATTAAAACAACTACATTGACAAAGAACAGTTGGGTGATTTGCAACAACCTCTATCGAAGACGATGTAGACCCAAATTTAGAGAACATGAGCAAGTGTTAGAGAGCAGATTTTGAGAGAATTATTTGTTTGAGAACGCATAAAACGAGTGAGGGGGAACTTCAATATGAGCATGGCAAAAAAATCACCATCACAAAGAGCTTCTTATTCAAAATGCCTAGTGGACTTATTCACTAACCCAAAAGAAAAATGTGAGTAGAGAGGAGGGGAGGAGGGCAACGGCGTTTCTTCCTCCTCCCCATTTGTGGAGTTTTTCTTTGGGACTCATGGAAGGAGAGAGTGGCTAGAGTTTTTCAACATACAAACTACCTAGATGAAGCCACTTAATCTAAAAGAAAATTGGATGAAATCATATTGGACATGTGTCTCTTGTCTTCATTTTTCCTTTTAGATGCCTTATATATGGTCTTTAGGTGAGATAATATCTCTTAACCGTTGGATCATACTAATTAATTTGATCAAATAATTAAGAAATGGAGCCTCACCTTAGGGCCATATATAAAGTCCTCCCTATAGAATTATTTTGTAATGTAGTGCATAATAATGTATGTGCTTATCGAAGTTTAGGACCAGCTTTGGGCCAAACCACTTCTGAAGCCCGCATTGCTCATATTAACAGAATGGGTTTTGGGTGCGCGAACGACTTCTGAAACAAAAGAAGAAAATAGTTGCAACGTGTAACTACTACACTTATATGCAAGCCGAAAACAGAGCCCATATAATTGTTTTTTGATGTTCAATGCCGAAGCCCATATCTTTGTTAAGTAGTTGAAGTTGGCAATTCTAAACTGGCAAAAACAGAAGAAAAAAAAAGTGTTTATACTCCAACCAGCTTATAGATAGTCCTTGCAAGTTGCAACCACAAAGAAGATTGTTAAGCTAAACTTTGCTTGTTTCGCTTCCAACTTGGCAGCAGCAGGGGAGATCATTGTTGCTGCACTATGGGCTATGATCTCTTCTATAGCTGTCACCTGCTTTATGTCCAGACAGAGAGTGTAGACTCAGATGAGTGAAAATCCCTCTCTTTATTTACAGTAAAGCTCATTTTGTAGCTGTTAAATTAAACCATCTTTGCAGCAGCAGCAGCAGCAGCAAGGAAATTGTGCAGCTCACCTCACAGTTTTTGATTTGACATAGCATACCATTGATCCCAAGCAAGACACCTCATTCCCACAACAACTACTGCTAAAACTGCTGAAGACAAAGTTTGCTCTGTCAAAGACCAATTTGGCTACAAGTCAATTTTATAAGAAAAAAAACTAAAAAAAAACCCACTTTCCTAATTCTTTACCTAATTAAACAAATACTCTAGTGGGGAAGACATTATTCTGTACCTACTAATTCAAGAAATCACTCCCCTGGGCATGGCAACAATCTTGACTCTTAAATTATTAAAAATATTAAAGGTGGCCCTCTCTTTTTTTTTGTTTTGTGTTTTTTGGTGGTAAAATTATTGAAACACTACTTTATTTTCTTGTCTGAACAATGGCGAGAAATTCATACACATTCACATATAAATATTCCACTCCCACTCTCATACCAAAGTAAAAGCTCAACCCACCGCCCAATAGACGCCTACCAAGTACCCTCAACAAAACCTCTCCCCTCACACAATTGGAGCGTGAGCTGCACGCGCATGTCCAAGTGTGGGTGTAAGTCCACCAAAGGCCACAGGGATAGCTGTTATTTTATAGCCACTCTCCTCACTTTTTTCTTCAAAATGATTTTTTTAATTTTATTTTATCTCTTGTCTCTTTCTCTCTCTAAAAAGAGCTCCCTTTTTTCACTTCACAGTTCACACAAAGATATCTCAGTAGGGTTTTTAATCTTTACTCTTTCTCCCTCCTCCTCTGTGAACAATCTGAGAGAAACCCAAAGAAAGGCAAAACCAAAAATCTTTTAACCAAAACGAACCCTAATTTCCTATCATCTTCTTCCTGCTCTTGTTGACTCAAAAACCTTGGGTTTCACTCTTCTTCGGCTCCCCCTCACTTCCATCCCATGCCCAGCTCCAATTTCAGCTCCAAACCCTAGTCTTATACTACAAAGTCCATCTGCAAAATGACCCATTTTCCTTGAATTCACCGTCATGCTACTGCCATTGCAGCCTACTGGGTGCGGAACGCATTTAGGAAATTTGATTTTTTACTGAATTTTGTTCAGTGTTGGTTCTTTCTTAGTTGGAATTTGGGAAATGGGTTTGGATGCATGTGTTGCGTAGGTGAGAGAGGAAGCCATGGAAGGAGATGAGCGTCACGTGCTGCTGGCATGCGTGATTTCAGGGACCCTTTTCTCGGTTTTGGGTTCAGCTTCATTTTCTATACTATGGCTTGTGAATTGGAGGCCGTGGAGGATCTATAGGTAATCTCATATAATTTTCAAAATTTTTGAAATTTTTTGTTACCATCTTTGTCAACACTAAAGAGTAAATTAAATACATTGTTTTAATTTAGGGTTGCATCAATGTACTTGTTAATATAGGGAATTAAACTTTAGATAGTTAAAAGTTTCATGATTGCACACTGGTAATTAATGTCATTTGTGGGTTTATTGTTGTGCTTAACTCTTTTATAAAACACAGGCTAAGGGCTGCATTCAATATGCGATTTTGGGATTTTTGTTGTTGTTTTGGTTTCAGAAATTGAGAAAGGCAGCATTGACAGGGCATTGGAAAATCCTGTTTCCTGAAGAGTTTCCTTAAGAACATGCGAATTACTAACTGGCTTTTAAGAACACATGACTAACTTGGTGGCTTGAAAGTGCCACAAGTTGTAAAACTTGGAGACATATGGGTACAAAGTGGAGAATTTTGTTAGTGAAATCGAGGAGATGCAGAAATTTGTGGTTTTTGGTTATCGATTTCCCCTTGAAGTCTCTTTATCATACTGAAAAAGATACGTTTTAATTTTAATCTTTATACTCTTGTTTAGGTTTCTATTTGGTAACTAAAGATTACAGTAATCATGCTGGTGAGACCTGCATAAATTTATTTTCGTCCATTAATATAAACATGTACTGTTGGGAGATTTAAGGAGATAAGGATCAGGATTTTATTAACTTCATAGGAAAGATTTTCAGTAGGCCACTTTAGTATTAGTTATTATTGGACATCTGGTTGTCAAAATAGTTTCCTTTTGCAGACTGATATCATTCTCTATTTAGACGTACCCTGCTTTTTAATTGTGTATGCATGGATGCTGATCTTCATCCATTTCTTGTGCGTGCACGCGCCCCTGTTTCTATAAGCATTTCTTGTGTTGATATACATTTGTGCAGTTATTGAGCATTTCTTCTAATCATATTACTAAATAAGAGTCATGAGTAGGTCACTTTCTGGTACGACCCCTTGTATTCCTGAAGATGTAAACATAACATAGTTTCTTTAGAAGCCAGCATGTCCCTTAAATTAATAATTATTTTTTGATGTACTTAACTCCAAATGTAATACTGTCATCTCCATTTTGTCTTTTCAGTTGGATCTTTGCCAGGAAATGGCCAGATATCTTCCATGGACCTCAGTTGGATATAGTATGTGGTTTCCTGTCTCTCTCCGCATGGATACTTGTCATTTCTCCAGTTCTAGTACTGATCATATGGGGAAGCTGGTTGGTTATAATATTGGATCGACATATAATTGGTCTGGCTGTAATAATGGCTGGTACTGCTCTTCTATTGGCTTTCTATTCAATCATGCTTTGGTGGCGAACACAATGGCAGAGTTCAAGTATGTATTTCCTGGAGCTCTCCTTTTAGTTGACAAATCATCTTTCTTTTTCCTTGTGTGACTGCTTTATCTTTACGAATAGATAGTAAAACCTGATGATTTTAAGATAAAGAGAATGAAGAATGAAGCCATGTAAGGTAATGAGTTGCTAACATGCTATTAGAGCTTGGGCATGAACATATTTTTTGCCTGAGCTGCTAACATGCTATTAGAGCTTGGGCAAAATCTGGTCCTTGGCTCCCTGCTAATCCGCTAAAGTGTAAATGATTAAAGAAATAGCTGGCAAAAAAGTTGTTGCTAAATCAATACAAGTTGTGACGAGAAATTGATGATGGGTAATAAATGGGTCCAGTGTATACATGTGGAATTTTCTTTCCACATATTTGGAAGGTCATGTTGGTGACCTAGTTCCATTGATCATTATGTCTTTTAGTTTTTATAAGATGAGCTTTCACTTTTTTGTATTTATGTTCTTAAAATAAGTTTTTTGTTTGGTTTTATAATTTTTCTTCTACAGGAGCTGTTGCTATTCTTCTTCTTCTGGCTGTTGCCCTTCTCTGTGCATACGAACTTTGTGCTGTATATGTTACAGCTGGTTCGAAAGCTTCTCAGCGGTATTCGCCTTCGGGTTTCTTTTTTGGTGTATCAGCAATTGCCTTGGCAATCAACATGCTCTTTATTTGTAGAATGGTGTTTAATGGTACACTTTGCAAATCCTATGCTGTTTAGTATGGTTTCCCTTGAATGCATTATGCTTCTCAATTTAAAGATCTCAATAAAGAAATAATTTGCAATTTCTGCCATCAATTATCCTTTACAGTTGGTTTTGCTTCTGTAAAAATGTTCTCTATCAATATGTGCAGGGAATGGCTTAGATGTCGATGAGTATGTGAGGAAGGCATACAAATTTGCTTATTCTGATTGTATAGAAGTGGGCCCTGTGGCCTGTTTACCAGAACCACCAGACCCTAATGAGTTGTATCCTCGACAATCTAGCAGGTAGCCCCTTAATGTTCATGTTTTATTTCATCAGTTATTGCTGGATGTTTTTTACTGTTATTGATTAGGAGTTACTAGTCCATGTTTGAAGTTATTGTAGTTCTTTTCCCTTTTCCTTCTCTTTATTAATAGATGCTTGTAAGTGAACAGTGTTGCCATATTCACAGCCTTTTATTGTCCACTCAGAAAAAAAACCTTGCTGAAATAGAGTATTATTTCAGAGAAAAGAGGGATGTTGAACAGATCTGTGTCTGAGGCAATAAATAGTCTAGATAATCCTTATAGAATTGTTACTTCTCTTATTAAAAGTTTCGGACTTTGTTCAGGTTTTGTCCATCCCTTAGTTGGATAGGGTGCGGTTTGTTCAAGTTCCAATCGGTCTTGGGTTTTATGATATTTATACTTATTATTGGCAGTGCGTACTTACATCTGGTTTTAAACTTACCCAGAATTTTGTCGAATTATTATTTTCATTTTCTGATTATATTACGTGTATGTAGGGCTTCACATCTTGGGCTTCTTTACCTTGGCTCACTTGTGGTTCTTCTTGTGTACTCAATTTTATATGGTCTCACTGCGAAGGAGTCACGATGGCTTGGGGCCATTACATCAGCTGCTGTCATCATTCTTGGTAAACTAAACCACTATGTTTTGTTGGTTTGTTTATTTGCATGCTTTCTAATTGATGCATTTAACTTGGCACATCCATAATGCTACAGATTGGAACATGGGCGCATGCTTGTATGGGTTCCAACTCCTTCAAAGTCGTGTTGCAGCGTTATTTGTTGCTGGCACATCTCGGATCTTTCTCATTTGCTTTGGTGTCCATTACTGGTTTGTGCATTTATTTGGCTATTATTTGTAATGCCACTGCTTTTTGGTTTCTCTTAGTTGTCACAAAAATTCCCATCTTTTGTCAGGTATTTGGGCCACTGCATTAGTTATGCAGTTGTAGCCTCTGTTTTATTGGGAGCTTCTGTTTCTCGCCATTTATCTGTGACGAACCCATTGGCTGCAAGGAGAGATGCCTTGCAGAGCACTGTGATTCGCCTGAGAGAGGGATTTCGCAAAAAAGAACAAAACAGTTCCTCAAGCTCATCTGACGGTTGTGGCTCAAGCATGAAACGCAGTAGTAGTGTTGAAGTTGGTTGCCTTGGTAATGTTGTTGAAGCAAGTAACAGGAGCACAGCACAGTGCACAGTTGATGCTAATAACTGGACTAATGTTCTGTTACGAACTGCAAGTTCTCATGAGGGGATTAATAGTGATAAGAGCATAGATAGTGGAAGGCCAAGTTTAGCATTGCGTAGCAGTTCTTGTCGTTCAGTGATCCAAGAGCCTGAAGTGGGAACCTCCTGTACTGACAAAAATTTTGATCACAATAACACATTGGCAGTTTGTTCTAGTAGTGGTCTTGAAAGCCAAGGTTGTGAATCTAGCACATCAAATTCTGCGAATCAACAAACTTTAGATTTGAATTTAGCTTTTGCATTGCAAGAAAGGTTGAATGACCCTAGGATAACATCTATGTTAAAGAAGAGGGCAAGACAAGGTGATCTTGAACTGGTTAATCTATTGCAGGATAAAGGATTGGATCCTAACTTTGCTATGATGTTGAAAGAGAAGAGCTTGGATCCAACTATTCTGGCATTACTTCAAAGAAGTAGTTTGGATGCTGATAGAGATCATCGTGACAATACAGATATCACCATAGTTGACTCAAATAGTGTTGATAATGCTTTACCCAATCAAATCTCTTTGTCAGAAGAACTGAGGCTTCATGGGCTTGAAAAATGGCTTCAATTATCTAGACTTCTTTTACATCATGTAGTAGGTACCCCAGAACGAGCATGGGTTCTCTTTAGCTTTGTTTTCATCCTAGAAACAATTGCTGTGGCAATTTTTCGTCCAAAGACAATTAAAATAATAAATGCCACACATCAACAGGTGAGAAAGGGCACTTCTAACTTCACGTTATTATTCATTGGTTGGAACTTGTTTGTTATTTAAATAATCTTGATATTGATGATTAGAGATGAAAATTTAAATTTAATTTTGTTGGTGTTACATTATTCCCGGTCATTCATAAAGTGTAATATTTTTTGTATGTAGTTTGAATTTGGCTTTGCTGTGCTGCTGTTATCTCCTGTTGTCTGTTCAATCATGGCTTTCCTCCAATCACTTAAAGCAGAAGAAATGACCATGACCTCAAAACCCCGCAAGGTATTTACTACATATTAAGCTGTACTGTTTTATTATATTAAAAAGTTTTTCTTGTCATTTCATCCCCTTCTTTCCCCACACTGAATTTGGATTTGTGATTTGGTTTTGGATTGAATAGAATAGATGATATGCCATTGCTTCAAGTCTTCATGATTGATTGACATGGTAGAAGTTTACATTTGCGAAACAAACATGTTTAGTGTAATCGTAATTGTGTAGATGTCTGTGGTGTAGGGATGAATTGGACTATATGATTGGTAGGAAAATGTCCTTCGGGTGGGGTACTTACATTGGACCTGTTTTACTGCAAATGAGCGTTTTCACTTTTTTTGTTACAATGCTGATGAAAGCTAGAGATTGCTGCTCGGGTGAGGGCTTTGTTTGTAGTGGGGAGGAATACATAAGTGTCTCACGTACAATTTGTAGATGACACACTTTCTCCATTTTTATGGAAAAGGATATCCATTATAATCTTTTTAAGATTGTTTACCTCTTTGAGCTAGTCTCAGGTTTGCAGACAAACATGTCTAAGAGCCTGGTGCACATTAATGTTTAGGTCCTTCAAGATGGGAAAGCGATGTCCCTAGCTAGGGAGCTGGGTTGTGAGAGAGGAGGGTGGTTTTTGAATTATTTGGGTCTTCCTTTAGGGGGTAAGTTGTTTTCTCCATATTTTTGGGATATGGCGTTGGAAAGAGTGAGAGGTTGGACAGCCAAAAGAAAGGTTGTTTTCCCGAGGGAAGCCTTATCTTGATTCAGTAGGTCTTGAATAGCATTCCTACCTATTGCATGCCATTTTTAGATTGGGAAGGTGGCTAGGAGGTTAGAAAATTTGAGAGATTTCCTTTGGGAGGGGAATGTTGAAGGGAGGATCTTTTATTGAGTTGGGATATTGTGCAGAGATTAAAAGATAGAGGAGGATTAGTGATGTAGCACCAGTGGAATTCGCAGAGAGAACAGTGAGGGAAAGAAAGGAAAAATGATAGGGGAAGAAGAAAGTTTGATGAGGGAGATGATTGTCAAGTAACCTTTTTCCCTTTGATTGTCGTCAGTTATGCTAGATGGATTTCTTGTCCAGGTTTTCCTAGTACTCTTCCTTTCTTTCTATAAAGTCTCTCGTTTCCATTTAAAAAAAAAAGAACTTTGCTAGCCTTTGGCTACCTTGTTGGTGAAAAACCAATATGATATCAAGATATGGTAAGCCTATCTTTATGAATAGCTACTTGCATTATGTTGAATGTCAGCTGGAGGAAATTTAGGAAGCTCTCTTGTGCTTTTGGCTCACGTTCAACTACTATTTTGGTAATTCTTTTATTAACGAAAAATTGCCACATCAGCCTCACTGTTCTTTGCCATTGATGTATACTGAACTTAAATGTATGTTTTTTCCTGTGCACTATGGGTACTTCTCATTCTATTGTTGCTTATGTTATCTTCTTACGGACATGTCATGTTTTTTCAGTATGGTTTTGTTGCTTGGCTGCTCAGCACTTCTGTTGGATTGTTGCTTTCCTTCTTGAGGTATGCTCTTTTGACTTAATTTAAAATTAAATTCTTCTTTTGTCATTTGTCATTCTTCTTTTGTTAACTGTTTCTAAAGTCTAACCAAGATGTAGTTTTTAAATATCTTTTGATTTCTTTTTCTTGACCTCTATATATTAAAGAATTATATCTGGTTGCTTTCCCAATTTTTTTCCCCAAGATTTTCTTCTTAACAAATAATTACAGTTAAAGTTTTGATTCTTGTTACATTTTACATAAGAATGACCTATTGTATTTATGCTATATCTTTTTCCGTTTGCAGCAAATCATCAGTTCTTCTTGGATTGTCCTTGACTGTCCCATTCATGGTGGCATGCCTTTCTGTTGCCATTCCTATATGGATCCGTAATGGCTACCAGTTTTGGGTTCCTCAATTACAATGTGCAGGTCCTGCAGGGAACCATCAAATCCGTGGAACTAAAGAGGTTTGTACTAAATGAATTCACACCATGTTTTATGTGAGCACCTAAGCACTGTAAAACTTGTTACGCTTTGAATAAGCTCTTAATGGGTTCTAGGCTTCTAGCACAACTGCATGATATGACCACCACGTGTGGACATTTGTTGCTGCTTGCATCTCACTACTTAATCTTGAATTTTAGGATTCTGTCATTGGATGGTTATGCATGTGGATGGATTTAGACATATTGACAAAGCTGATGTGATCCTTTTCATTTATGTATTTAATACAAAAAGAATTGCTTTTGTAATAACTTGACTGCAATGCATTGTACGTTTACTGTATTTGAGCATATGGATTACAGTAGACCAGATACTGGAAGTTTGATTTGACTTTAGTTTTGAATGATAGTAACAAAGGACAGTCCAATACTGGAAGTTTGATTTGACTTTAGTATCTTTAGGCAACGTATTATATTCGTAAAGTGAAAGAATTTGTTCTTCTAACTAGTCTTTTTGTATTGATGAGGTGAGGCAGGCTCTTTGTCCACTGTTTTGTGATTAACTAATAAGTTTCCTCTTTGTTTTGAAAAAAAAAGGCGATTCATTATATTTGCATAATGGTCGTACCTTCTGCATGCGAGGGTTGTAAGTTGCTTTGGAAACAACGGTTTTAGTTCTAGAAATGGCATTTCCCTATGTATGTCTACGAAATGAGGTCCGAAATACTGAGTATATATTTTGTTTTGTTAGCCTTTGCCTTTTGCATTCTTGTTGTAATAGCTAAAATGGCATGTATATAGCTGTAGTGTCAAAGATTTCAGGCACTCATGGTTTGGCAGTTATTTTCCCTGGAGGTGTCTCACTTCATAGTAGCTATTATACCACCTTTTATTTTCACTTTTTCACCCTTAACCAGAATTTGTTGTTGACCTCAAATTTTGGGTAATTCTGATTACATCTTGTGCCTTTTCAGGGTGTAATTCTTGTCTTAAGTACAACATTATTTGCTGGATCTGTGTTAGCTCTTGGTGCGATAGTATCTGCAAAGCCCTTGGATGACTTAGGATACAAAGGATGGACTGGTGAACAGAAAAGCTTTACCTCTCCTTATGCGTCATCTGTGTACATTGGCTGGGCTATGGCTTCTGCCATTGCTTTGATGGTTACTGGTATACTGCCGATCGTTTCATGGTTTGCAACATACCGGTTCTCCCTGTCTTCTGCTGTGTGTGTTGGGATATTCACAGGTAATTTGTATAGATTTTCTTTCTTTAAGGAGTCTTTTATTTTTCTATTGGGACATCGTTGGTACTCAAAGTCTTTCATAATTATCTTCTTCAAGTATTTTTTTTTAAATTATCCTGTTTTTGTAGTTGTGCTTGTGACATTTTGTGGTGCATCCTACATGGAGGTTGTGAAATCTAGAGATGACCAAGTTCCAACAAGTGGTGACTTCCTTGCTGCTTTACTTCCTTTAATTTGCAGTCCTGCATTGCTGTCTCTTTGCTCCGGGTTACATAAATGGTGAGTGAAACATATTGCTCTTTATTAATTTGAGCTATGTGGAGTAATGGATGCTCACCAAGATTCTAAAATTCTATGGATTTTGTTTTTCCAGGAAGGATGATGATTGGAGACTTTCTCGGGGTGTTTATATCTTTGTTACCATTGGTCTTCTTCTTCTTCTTGGGGCCATATCAGCTGTTATTGTTGTAGTTAAACCTTGGACGGTAAGAGAGGACTACTTTCTTGCCCTCAATTGTTCTAATATTTTAGAGGCAGCTCTCTAACATGCTTCTTTTGGTATTGCAACAGATTGGGGTGGCATTTCTTTTAGTTCTTCTCATGATTGTACTAGCTATTGGTGCTATCCATCACTGGGCCTCAAACAATTTCTATTTGACAAGGACCCAGATGTTCTTTGTTTGTTTCCTTGCTTTTCTTTTGGCATTGGCAGCGTTTCTTGTTGGATGGTTTGAAGGTGAAAACAATTTAGCGCAGCTCTTATTATTTGCATCACTATTAGTTTAGTAGTTATATATTGCAGAAAGTCTTTCTAGCTACTAACCTTGTTACATTTATTTTCTTTGTTCAGATAAACCATTTGTTGGTGCTTCTGTTGGTTATTTTTTATTCTTGTTTCTTCTGGCTGGGAGAGCATTGACTGTGAGTTGAATACAATATATTTGAATCAAATTTTAGATGCTCAAACTAATATTTGATGCCTTCTTGTCTGTTCTAGTTCTGCAGCTTCTTGATTTTGTGTTATGTGATGGTTGGTGCAGGTTCTTCTTTCACCTCCTATTGTTGTTTATTCTCCGAGAGTTCTCCCTGTCTATGTTTATGATGCTCATGCAGATTGTGGAAAGAATGTCAGGTTTGTTAAATACTGTGTATTTCTTATCTCCTTGTTTCAGTTCGATATTTGATATGCATGCAGTTTAGTTTGACATGTGTTTGTGATTTGTATTACATAATAGTGCGGCATTTCTTGTGCTTTATGGGATTGCATTGGCAACTGAGGGCTGGGGCGTCGTTGCGAGTTTGAAAATTTTTCCACCATTTGCTGGTGCCTCTGTGTCAGCAATTACTCTTGTTGTAGCCTTTGGGTTTGCTTTCTCTCGCCCCTGCTTGACTCTCAAGGTTTGTGTACTGTTCTACAATATATCATTACTGAAGATGTATTAAGATCCTTACAGGATGACGTATTTCTATATTCTATCCTATCTCTATCTGTTTCTCTCGCGTGCTCTTTTGTCTGATTAGATGTTCATTTTTGTGTCCAGATGATGGAAGATGCAGTGCACTTTCTTAGTAAAGAAACTGTTGTTCAAGCTATTGCTAGATCTGCCACCAAGGTTGGTATAATAATGTTATGATCTGTTCTGCAACAGTGCCCTTCAATTTTCCCTATTTACACTCAAGCACACACAAGTATTTCGGGTCTGAATAAGCTGTGGAGAATAATACTACATATTATTCTACAATAATATACCTTTATACTCGCACAAACTTTTAACATATTGACTTGTGTTCATTGATCTCTAAAGATGAATTTTCATTCTTGTTTGATTAGGAAAATGTTGTATTTGTATATAACGTGGAGTTATTCTCTTAACCATGCAGACCAGAAATGCTTTATCTGGAACTTATTCTGCTCCACAGAGGTCTGCCAGCTCCGCTGCTCTTTTGGTTGGAGATCCCACCGTAATGCGTGATAGGGCAGGAAATTTTGTGCTCCCCAGAGCAGATGTCATGAAATTGAGAGATCGCCTAAGAAATGAGGAGTTAGTTGCAGGCTCATTCTTCTGCAGAAAGAGATATGGAAGGACTTTCCGCCATGAACCAACTAATGATGTTGATCACAGAAGAGAGATGTGTGCTCATGCACGAATATTGGCTTTGGAAGAGGCAATTGATACTGAATGGGTGTATATGTGGGATAAATTTGGTGGTTATCTGCTTCTTTTGCTTGGTTTGACTGCTAAGGCTGAGCGAGTACAGGTAAATTTATACTGTTGCTGCTTGCAATCCATGATGTATTTGTTTTATTGTGGACGATGATAGCATTGTTTTTGTGCTGTGCTAGGATGAGGTACGCTTGAGACTCTTTCTTGATAGCATAGGGTTTGCAGATCTAAGTGCCAAGAAAATAAAAAAATGGATGCCAGAGGACCGCAGGCAGTTTGAGATTATTCAAGAGAGGTAGATTCCTATTCTTACATTTGGGTCTTTCTTTATGTGATTATTGAAATTCTTCCTCTGTTTCTAATTGTTGTAGTATCTTTATTTTTGTAGTTATATAAGAGAAAAAGAGATGGAAGAGGAACTCTTAATGCAAAGACGTGAAGAAGAGGGGAAAGGAAAAGAGAGAAGAAAGGCTCTCCTAGAGAAGGAAGAACGCAAGTGGAAAGAGATAGAGGCTTCTCTGATTTCTTCAATTCCTAATGCCGGCAGCAGGGAAGCAGCAGCTATGGCAGCTGCAGTGCGTGCAGTAGGAGGTGATTCGGTTCTTGATGATTCTTTTGCTCGAGAGAGAGTTTCAAGCATTGCACGTCGGATACGCACAGCTCAGTTGGCTCGTCGAGCACTTCAGGTGTTGTATATTATATCAAACTGTTTCAAGTATGCACCATCATTTCCTTTCACATTAAAATGTAGGATAAAACTTCTCAGTTGCTCTTACGCTTTCAATCTCACGTGTTTTCTGACATTTATTAAAATATTTTAGTGTTAATAGCATCCACATCTCTTTCCTTGCGGGGATGATGAGACATCTCCATCCTAACTTAATGATATGAGACATGTTTTCTCTGTTGTGGTGCTTGGTCTTGTTGTTGCCTGGATATGGGAATATTTCTAGATTGTAGTCCTTTAGAAAATGATGTTATACTTTTGAGTTGAAATCCACGAGTGAGGGAGTCAACTTGGAAACAAATGGAGAGTGAGTGTTTGATATACCGTATAGATGGCATAGGTCAAGTCCTTTTGATTTTAAGTGGTCAAACCATGTAATCAATTCATCTCATGGGTTCAATAGATCCGATAAAATATTTAAATACCTTGTGCTGTTGCTTTGTGTTTTATTTTATCTAATACCATTCCGTTATTTTTTACTGTGTCTATATGTGTCCGTTTAGTTTGTACTTTACCTTTTCTTGATATATCCATGGAGGTCTAGGTTGTTTATATAACTAGTCAACCAACCTAATTACGCAAACTATGGTTAATGTTATTGGCAGACGGGAATTTCTGGTGCTGTATGTGTTCTAGATGATGAGCCAACAACAAGTGGCAGACACTGTGGCCAGATTGATCCCACCATCTGTCAAAGTCGGAAGATTAGCTTTTCTGTTGCAGTGATGATTCAACCTGTATCTGGGCCTGTTTGCCTATTTGGCACTGAGTTTCAAAAGCAAATTTGCTGGGAAATATTGGTAGCCGGTTCTGAGCAAGGTATTGAAGCTGGACAAGTTGGGCTTAGATTGATTACTAAAGGTGATAGACAAACTACTGTTGCAAAGGAGTGGAGTATTAGTGCAACTAGTATTGCAGATGGAAGGTTTGGGCCTTGTCCTTTTTCTAAACAAAATTATTGATACTTGTCCTGATTCTTGGAGATGTCTTGGCAGTTCTCTGTTACCTTCTATTTGTTTTGGGCCTATTTGGTTTCTTTAATTTATTTTTTTTCACTTATGTTTGTTGTGAGGTGGGTTCTCTTTTTATTTTTATAATTATCTGGTCTTTTTTTAATTCTCTTCAGCTGTTCTTGATTTTCTGTTTTTTTCCCCTGATGTATCTCTTGCCCTTGTTGTTTTGCGCCCTTTTTTCTTTCTTTAATAAATTTCCAGTTTCTTGTAATAAAAAGGATTTTTCAACCATGTATACGTTTTTTGTTGATGGCTGCTGAATCTCACTGGAATCTGTACTTGCTTTTCAGGTGGCATTTGGTAACAATGACAATTGATGCTGATTTAGGTGAGGCAACTTGTTATCTGGATGGTGGTTTTGATGGCTACCAGACCGGTTTACCATTGCATGTGGGTAATACTATTTGGGAACAAGGAACAGAAGTTTGGGTTGGCGTTAGACCACCTACTGATATGGATGCATTTGGGAGGTCAGACAGTGAAGGGGCTGAGTCTAAGATGCATATTATGGATGTGTTCCTATGGGGAAGGTGCTTAACTGAAGATGATATTGCTGCTCTTCATTCAGCTATTGGCTCAACTGATTCTAACATGATAGATTTTCCTGAAGATAATTGGCAGTGGGCAGATTCACCTTCTAGAGTATGTCTTCGTTTTAATATATTATTTTGTATCAGTCCATGTTGGAATTTCAAGTAGTGTAATTTACTGTAGTTTCTGATATTAGGTTTCTATCAAACTGATCCTCGTTTTTTTCTTTGCTAGGTTGATGAATGGGATAGTGATCCTGCAGATGTGGATCTATATGACAGGGATGATGTTGATTGGGATGGGCAGTATTCTAGTGGGAGGAAACGAAGGTCAGAACGTGATGGAGTGCTGGTTGATGTGGATTCATTTGCCAGGAGGTTTCGGAAACCTAGGATGGAAACACGAGAGGAAATCAATCAACGAATGCTTTCAGTTGAATTGGCAGTCAAAGAAGCCCTCTCTGCTAGGGGAGAAATACATTTTACGGATCAGGAGTTTCCTCCAAATGATCAGTCATTATTTGTAGATCCAGAAAATCCCCCATCAAAGTTGCAGGTATGTTTTTCTGGTAAACTTTTTTAATCTGGAGGAATCTATGGTTTTAAATATCCTAAAATTTACTGGATTTTCGAATTTAGGTTGTCTCTGAATGGGTGAGGCCTGCTGAAATTGTAAAAGATAGCCGGCTGGATGCTCATCCATGCTTATTTTCTGGCACTGCCAATCCTTCTGATGTTTGTCAGGTTGGGCCCTTTGCCAAGATGGCAATTATATTTATGATTATTTTGCACAGCAATATCCCTAATTGGTTTTGCATTCTGAATAGGGTCGACTGGGTGATTGCTGGTTTTTGAGTGCCGTTGCTGTTCTTACGGAGGTTTCACGAATATCAGAAGTGATTATTACTCCAGAGTATAATGAGGAAGGAATCTACACTGTTCGCTTCTGTATTCAGGTGACTTGTAATTTCAACAAAAAGATCATTCGAATAGGAGTTCATTTACAAATCTGGCTTGAATTGTCTGTCAAATCCATTTAGGCTGCGGTGACGGTGATGTTGCTTAATGTTTAACTAGGATAGTGACACAATTCTTTACTAGTGTATGGAATTGTTGGGGCCTTGTTTGTGGTATCTGTTGAGTTTGAGTGAACTCTTAGTGGACTTCTGGTACACTTTATTTGTCTTTTTTGTTATTCTTTTTTTTTGGGATTTCTGTTTTTTCTGTGGAAGAATAATAATTTCCTTTTGGCTATCTTTATTAGTAGCATGCTAAAGCTTGTTCCTGGCCTTTCTTTAGGGTGAGTGGGTTCCTGTTGTTGTTGATGATTGGATTCCATGTGAATCGCCGGGGAAACCAGCATTTGCTACTAGTAGGAAAGGTAACGAGCTATGGGTCTCTTTATTGGAGAAGGCATATGCTAAATTGCATGGCTCCTATGAAGCATTGGAAGGTGGGCTTGTCCAAGATGCTCTGGTGGACCTTACTGGAGGTGCTGGCGAGGAGATTGACATGAGGAGTGCTCAAGCCCAAATTGATCTTGCAAGTGGTCGACTATGGTCTCAATTGCTGCGCTTCAAACAAGAGGGGTTTCTTCTTGGTGCCGGCAGTCCATCAGGTTCAGATGTACATGTTTCCTCAAGTGGCATTGTGCAAGGTCATGCCTACTCATTATTGCAGGTGCGTTGGAATGCCACCTTGTCTTAGTCATGCCTTATTATACGAAGCAAATGAAACTTGGCTTAAGGTGGTCACACTAACTAAATTTTGTAACCCAGGTGAGAGAGGTGGATGGTCACAAGCTTATTCAGATTCGGAATCCATGGGCAAATGAAGTTGAGTGGAATGGCCCTTGGTCTGACTCATCGCCTGAATGGACAGATAGGATGAAGCACAAGCTGAAGCATGTTCCTCAGGTTGTGTTCTGTATTTCACTTTCCAACATCATACATGTGAATCTACCTTTTCAAAATTTTTGGTGGAGTAGTGACCACCTCAGATTCATTGCACCATGGATGGCCTATTTATTGCCATTCAATTAGATCTAATCAGGGTGTCCTGACTTTGTTTTTCACAATTCTCTCTCAACAGTCAAAGGATGGCATATTCTGGATGTCCTGGCAAGACTTTCAAATTCATTTTCGATCAATATATGTTTGTCGTATCTACCCGCCAGAGATGCGCTATTCTGTCCATGGTCAATGGCGGGGTTATAGTGCTGGTGGCTGCCAAGATTATGAAACATGGCATCAAAATCCACAGTTTCGATTGAGGGCCACTGGACCAGATGCTGCACTTCCAATTCATGTATTCATTACATTGACACAGGTATCTTTAAAATTGGACCCTATATATATATATATATATATATATATATATATGCACAACTAACTATCTTTTATTAATGGATTTCATTGACTTTTTTTTATCACATGGTCTATGCTTAGGGCGTGAGCTTCTCAAGAACAGTTGCTGGTTTTAGAAACTATCAATCCAGTCATGATTCAATGATGTTCTACATTGGGATGAGGATACTTAAAACTCGAGGCCGTCGTGCTGCTTACAATATATACCTACATGAATCAGTTGGTGGGACAGATTATGTCAATTCTCGAGAAATATCTTGTGAAATGGTTCTGGATCCAGATCCAAAAGGTTACACAATAGTGCCTACAACTATACACCCGGGGGAAGAAGCACCATTTGTTCTTTCTGTTTTCACAAAAGCATCAATAACCTTGGAAGCCTTGTAGTATGCCGTGGTGGCTTTTCAGTTGTTCTTTTCTCCTTTGGTCTGAGTGCACATATGCAAAAATGTTGAATTGCTTGGGCTGAACAGGGACTGTATGTCTGCTGGCAGGTTGCAGTGACCTCAAATTAGAAAACAAGATGACAAGGTGAGTTTCGGTCTGTTTATAGTTATATGCAGTAGTCAGTCAATCCTCTTTCGTATATGTTTTCCTTTCCTATTCTCCTAAATGGGATTATGGTATTGGTAGGGGAAATCGGTTATTTATAATTTTCCTATATGGATGGTGTAAATTTGCGTTAAATGATTGTATATTAATGCATACAAACTTTACTGACCACAAATGTGTAGCACTAACTTACGCTGTAATATGCTGAAACTCTTTTGCTTGAGGTGTTTAAAAGAAAAGGCCACTTCTTCGAAAAAAGTTTGGGTGGATAGATAGGATTTAGGAAGCTAGTGCTGAGTAGTCTGTGGCTCTATTTACAGTGTATTAATTTACCTTTTTTTTTCTTTTTCAAAGTGTTCCACCATTGTGTTATTGTAAGTAAACCTGCATTAATTTGAACTTAAGATTCTCCTATACGTTCTACTAGTGTTAATCTACAGAACCTTGCATTTTCTAGAATGAACATTGATTAGCATATCTAGCTTACGGTTCCCTATAATATTGTTTGGCATACCAAAATAACATTGTTAATGCATTTATCAATTAAATATCTTCTTGTAATTAATGCATCTATATTGGACATTGGTGACTAATTGATTAGGACTTGACCCTGAGCAGGACGGGCACAGGACACGTATGGTGTTGAGTGATTCACTCTCAGCTGCAAACGCAAAGATTAGTACAAGCTCATATGATTAGTACAAGCTCAGTGCAACAAGAGTCGGATGAACTTTTCCGTGACCAAGAACTGAGTAAAGAAGTGCTTTTCAGAGACATGCACTGATGTGAGACGTTCCCCCTGTTGGCTTTTCTGTATATCGTTTGCGTCTGCCAGCGTGGAAAAGGGCCTTCGAAGTTTTTGTAATTGTATTTGTACATACAATTGATAGTTTTGCATGGAATGAATATAGTTATGATCTTGTAAATGAGAAGGAAAATAGGAAAGAAATAGGAATATTTAGTTCGAGGGAGATATAAGGTAGCAAATGTAGCTAGGATTCTCTCTTGTTTGAGCTGCAGTTTTGTGGGGCCATGTAATTGGATTGGAACCATGGGTCAAGTGTACAAAATATTTAATTATTTCAACGTGAACTGCATTATCCAGCTTCATTTCAATCCAATGTAATGCAAGTTATATTATTTCGTTTTGAGAGATATATATATATATATATTAGCATGCATATGGGAGAGGGAAAGAGACTCAACTCACAACTACTACTGAATCACACTTGAATATAGGCGGAAGGAAATATAATATTAAAAACGTATAGCCGCGCGGCTATATTTTTAAAATATAATCGAATATTTAAATGGTATAGCCGGACGGCTATACCTTTTGAATATAATCCAACATATAAAGAGTATAGCCGCGCGGCGATATTGTTAAAATATAAGGGAGTTTCACTAAAACACCCAAAATGGGGGTTGAAATTATAAAAAAACCCAAGCACTATTTAAACATATAAACACACTCAAAACCCATCATTACACACTCAAAAAGTTGACTTTGGGGTTGATTTTGGGTGTGTTTCTATGTTTAAATAGTTCTTGGGTTTTTTTATAAATACATGTCTAGGATTGGGTTTATTTAAAAATTTGTAAAAATGTAATCGAATATTTAAACGGTATAGCCGAACGGCTATACCTTTTAAATATAATCCAATATATAAAGAGTATAGCCGCGCGGCGATACTGTAAAAATGTAATCGAATATTTAAACATTATAGCCGCGCGGCTATACGGTTAAAATATGTTCCCCCTACAGAGATGCGCTATTCTGTTTCTGTCCATGGTCAATGGCTATGTGGAGTAATGGATGCTCACCAAGATTCTAAAATGCTATGGATTTTGTTTTTCCAGGAAGGTTGATGATTGGAGACTTTCCCGGGTTGTTTATATCTTTGGTCTTCTTCTTCTTCTTGGGGCCATATCAGCTGTTATTGTTGTAGTTGTTTAACCTTGGAGGGTAAGAGAGGACTACTTTCTTGCCCTCGATTGTTTTATATTTCAGAGGCAGAGGCAGCTCTCTAAAATGCTTCTTTTGGCATTGCAACAGATTGGGGTGGCATTTCTTTTACATGAGCATGCATTACAGGGAGAACATCGACTCTGAGTTGAATACAATATATTTGAATCAAGATGCTCCAACTAATATTTGATTCCTTCTTGTCTGTACTAGTTCTGCAGCTTCTTGATTTTGTGTTACGTGATGTTTGGTGCAGGGTCTTCTTTCACCTCCTATTGTTGTTTATTCTCCGAGAGTTCCCCCTATGTTTATGATGCTCATGCAGATTGTGGAAAGAATGTCAGGTTTGTTAAATACTGTGTATTTCTTATCTCCTTGTTTCAGTGTCGATATTTGATATGCATGCAGTTTAGTTTGATGATTCATGTGTGCATATATCTCATATTTGGGATTTGTATTCCATAATAGTGCGGCATTTCTTGTGCTTTATGGGATTGCATTGGCAACTGAGGGCTGGGGTGTCGTAGCGAGTTTGAAGTTTTTTCCACCATTTGCTGGTGCCTCTGTGTAAGCAATTACTCTTGTTGTAGCCTTTAGGTTTGCTTTATCTCGCCCCTGCTTGACTCTCAAGGTTCGTGTACTGTTCTACAATATATCATTACTGAAGATGTATTAAGCTCCGCGGCTGTTTTGGTTGGAGATCCCACCATTATGCGTGATAGGGCAGGAAATTTTGTGCTCCCCAGAGCAGATGTCATGACATTAAGATCGCTTCTGAAATGAGGAGTTAGTTGCAGGCTCATTCTTCTGCAGAAAGAGATAGCGGCATGCCCCTTTAAATATCCAATCCAAGGAACAAGAATCTTTATACGTATTATAAAGACCATGGAAGTTAGTACGTATTATATCTTATCACAAGGCAACTATGGAATCGTTGGAATCGAATGCGTGCATGGCAAAACAAATAGAATGGTTGCTCGGTAATATTTTTGCCAGAACGGTTTAAGCTTTCTGGGCATGTTTGGGTTTTGCATGTGTTTTAAATGGCTTTGGTAACAATACAACCATTACTTATAGCAAACAGATCAACTGATTGCCAGAAGATAATGTGACCATGATAAGTTGTCAACTACGCAAGCTGCAATGCACTTTACAAGCTTGCAGTTCTCGGAAATGAATAGGATAAATAGATACATTTTTTTTAAAGGAAAAGAGGCGATCATGGAACTAGGGAAGATGACGAAATTTATTTTCCAACTCTCAAAAATGCCAAAGCAATTATACATAGACAACCAAGGGATTAGGGTACAGAGATTACACCATTTCTAACTTCTTTTTCCCGGCTTTGATCTCTGTCCCTAGTTGCCTACTCCAGTCCTATAACTATCCAAAAAAACTGTATCTTCTTGCCCTTGTTCTTATGTCTCTCTCTCAGTCTGAATCACTATCCATACTTCCCATGGCCTTCAATCCTCTGGGTCTCTGCATCATAATGGTAACCCAATCACATACCCTTCTTACAGATTTGCATAGTTAACGCAACAGAACTATGGCTCTCTTTGGCTGCTAGGAAACTAAATGGAAAAGGTAAAAGAACACATAACATTTCAATTTACACAATTTTGAGGACAGTTCTCTCAGGTCCCCAACATTTAAAGTCATTTGAGATTTCAAAACCAAATTTCTTCTCATCCCAGCAACCAAACAGAGCCAAGCCAAGCATTCAGGATAGAACAAAGAAGTTAGCAATTAACTAAATTTTGCATAAGAGAGACAGAATACCTTCTTTGAAGCCTTCTTCTCCCTCACTTCATACCTCTCCTGGCACAAATCTGATAACCATACACCTGGCATTACCAACTGCACACAAAAGTGAGAATAAGTCACACCCACATCACTAACTCTCTCTCTCTCTCTCTCTCTCTCTCTCTCATGAACAACTTACAAGTAAGCTTTTTTGGAGCAGCTTTGCTCTTTTCTTGGGCCTTTGAGGTAGCTTACACCCTTTCATAGCCATGAAGTCCTCTTCCTTTTCTTTACTAGACAATGATAGAAACAACCTTGGCCACACATGGCCTCCTTTGTCATCCCTTGCATGACCAGGATAATCTAATCCTAACACCTTCCCATTATCATCCAAGCCTATTGAACCCCTTGTTGTGTAATACCGATCTTCCTTCTCCGGTGAAGTAACAAATAACTTCCCACTATTCATCGGCGAAGCTGAATTCCTGCAATCAAAACATAACCACTTGGAACAATGTTGGCTCTATTCCCTTCACAAATAGTCTGTCTGGTTGAGAATTGTGTGAAAATAAAGTATTGAAACCCGGATCTAATAGTATCAGCAACACAAGTCCCATATGATTCTAGGATTGATCAATTTTTCTCATTTATTTATTTTTGGGAAGGGATCTTTCAAAGCATGAACTATTTTTTTCTTTTGCTAAACCTCATTAAATTTCTAAATTCAGAGAAAAGAAAAATAGAAGATAACATACACGTTCTTAGTTCAACAAAAGCTGCTTCAAACCAATCCCAATCATCAAATTTCTTGCATAGTTCAAGCTTTGGAAAGTTAGCATATTTGTTTCTTATTTCAATTAAAGCATTAATGTTTCTTACTTGTCGATGCGCTGGGGTAGTGGAGCGGGAGACTCTTTCTCGGCACGAGAAGCGATTTTCTTCTTCCTCAAACAGTCTGACGATTTGGTGTTGCTCAAGCTTTGGTCTTTCTTCACCTTCGCACATCTAAGCCTCTTTCTGTTCCCCCATTGCAATACAAAGTCTGACTCTGTAGCTTTAGACTCTCTTTGGCTTTTCCCTTCTTTTTCCATTTCTGAAGAGATTACACATTTGAAATTTTACTTAAAAAACAATAGAAAGCGCGAGAAAATAAAACAAAGTGGAAGAAAATTTCCCCAACATGTAGAGAACTGAAAACTGACCTCAAGATCTAAGGAGATAACTGTTGAAATGAATGCAATTTATCTCAGGCAACCCTGCATTTTCAGTGGATTTACGATGACCCAAAAACGAATTAGATCGACAACAATATCAGAGTAATCCTTTGCTCTGTTTGGTTGTTGATAAAGTACAAAAGAAAAGAAAGCAAGGAACCCAATTGGATTTAGGACCAGTTAATCTTAATTCCATTGAATCTCTGGGTTTGTTTCTCTTTTTCTTCGGAACCAAACAGACCATGAAAGTTAAACAATTAAAAAAAAGGAGAGATTTGAAGGAGAAAACTCAATTACATAGTGATAGCAGTAGAGCAGTAGGCCAGCAGCAGAGACAGAAAAGAATGAAGAAATTTGCCCTCAAATTTTCTCCAGAATAACGAGAAGAGGAAAAACTGAACAAGAGTGTATGTTGGTTTTTGTCTCTGAAAGGCCAAGAAATAAAAAAATCGGCGCTTTCCAAGAAATAAAAAAATCGGCGCTTTCTTTGTTATCTCCACACTCAAAGCTCTGAGAGTCTCTCAGTCTCTCTCTCTCTCAGAGGAGCCTCTGTTTCTTTTGGTTTCGCCCTACTTTATTTTGATTTGTTTTTGTTGCCCCTCTAATCACTCCAGAGTATAGTATAGTCTCTATTCTCCATTAGTTGTTAGGCATTTACTGTAGTATCCATGAAACTTCGGTCAAATCTCACTTTCCTCTCCTAAAGTTAAAACGACCCATTTAACCCTCTTGACCGTGGGTTCGTGTTCCACTTTACTCCCACTATTATCTACGTTAATAACTCCGTCAATTTTGATGACGTAGCATGACTATTTTAGTCTTTTTGTAACAAGTGTTTGACGTGTGATGTTTGAGCCCTTTTTTTTTTTCTTTCCCTTTAAGTGGAATAATTTTTTTTGGGTTAGAAAAAGTGGAATAAAATAATGTAATTCCTTTTTTCTTTTTTTCTTTCTTTCTCTCTCCCCATCCGAATCTACCTGGTTCTCTTTCAAATTCAATCCCCATCCTCGACAATAACAAAATCTTTCAGTTCTTCACACCCAAACCCAATAACTCAATTCACCAATTTCCCCCATAAACAACTCCCAAAATAATGAAAAATCTGATTTTGGCCCTTTTGATATGCCTCATGTTTGCTTTGTCAAATGGGTATGGAGGAACCAAGGTCGGAGGCAGGCGACAGATTGAAGACATGAAGACGAACAAGGAGGTTTAGGAGTCGGTAAGGTTTTTGATGGCGCAAGACAACCGGAGCCAGCGAAAGAGCCACCAAAGCAACGTCAGCAAAGGGATTCAGTTCTTGGAGGTGGTGGAGGTGCATAGGTGGATGGTTTCTGGGATCAAGTACTATCTCAAGGTCTTTGTCGTGAAGATGGTGAAGCTAGGAACAGAGAAAGAAAAAGGGAGAGATAAAGAGATATAGGAAGGAGTTGTTGGGGAGGGGGTCGGGTACAGAGAAGAAAGAGGGAGAGAAGAGAGAAGGGGAGGGGAGAGAAGTAATAATTTTCCGAACTTTTTCTTTCCTATTTGTTATATTTATCAAAAGGGAGTTTCACTAAAACACTCAAAATGGGAGCTGAAATTATAAAAAACCAAACATTCAAAACACTTTATAAACACACCAAAAATCCATCATTACATACACTCAAAACCCATTTATAAACACACCCAAAAAATATACAATTGTTGATTTTAGGTGTGTTTCTATGTTTAAATAGTGTTTGAGTTTTTTTATAAATACATGTCTAGGATTGAGTTTATTTATAAATTTGTATTATTAAAATAAAGTATTTTATTATTTTTAACACATGGCATACAAGAGTGGGTCCTATTTGTGCCCCATCAGCGTTTTAATAGAACTTTTTAACAGAGTTAACAGTGGAGGGTAAAGTGGAATACAAAACCACGATCAATGGGGTCAAGAGGGTTAAGTGGGTTATTTTAACTTTGAGAGGGTAAAGTGAAATTTGACTGAAGTTTCAGGGGGTACTACAGTAAATAAGCTTAGTTGTTATACACTTACCTATACATCTATAAAACAATCCTTACTGTCGGATAGCAAATAGAGGGCCAGATAGGTTTCCTTCCAAGTGTCTGAACTATTTTATTTTATTGTATTCTACCCTATGATCCTTTATTTTATTCTGCTAACAAAATAATAAATAGGATAGGTAGGGGCTGAAGCTCTTGCCCTTAGGAGAGACTTTCATGTAAGGGGGATAATATTTTTCGTTATCTTTAGCAAATAACGCAATGACACGCGGAATACCTTTGCCACGTGTCATTGCATTATTGGCCCTAAATAACAAAACAATATTATCCATGTTACAAGAAAAATTTTCTGCTTGACCTTGTTGCTTCATATTGTGGTCGTGGGGTTGTGTCTCATTGGCTCTATGCACTCCTACTATATAATAGGGCACATTGATACTGAGTTATAGGCTTGTAATCAAATGACAGTGCCTATATCTTATCCGAGTTAGATCCTACCTCTCCTACTGTATATAGGCTTTAAGCATATATATATAAACGGCTTTTATTTTGGGTTCATAGTGTTTAAAAGAAGGCAAGGCAGCAAACGTGGGTTAGATCCGTTGACCAGGGTGGTTTCTGTCCTCTCACACCTAAATTCGAGCCCCCCTCTGTAAAATAGGTTAATTGAGAATAATATAGATTCTTGCTTGTATAAAAAAATAAAAATAAAATGAAGAAGGCGAGGCCATCACACTATACTATATTCTATATTAATCCTGTCACTTGTCTGAAGGGAGAAAATTGAAGGAACCGTAACTGGTAAGTGGATGAGTAAGTAGTTGAAGCGAAAGAAGATGAAGTACAAAGTACAGAAGAGTTGAACACCACAAAGCAAGAAGCTGTTACACTTAAATCAGCCCAACCCAATATGAATATGAATATGAAGAAGCCCCCAGCCCAATAATATTGATTCTAGAAAGAGGCTTGTTTGACAATTAATTTCGTCCCAAAAGGCCTACTACACAAATAAATAAATAAATAAATAAAATATAATATGTGCAATCGTCCACATTGCACACCCCCAACAACGAGTGGTTCGAAAACTAATAGTATCAATGTTTTTATTATTGTAAAACCTCATACATGTTGAGCTTTACATATGATTAAAGTAGAAATAATATCGTTAATCTCTTTAAATTTTAACAAAAATCTCGTGTTATTTAATATATTAATTACCTTGCAAGCCAAAGCAAAAGGAATTGGCTGCTACACATACGACGTAAAGGGCAAATTAATCTCAATGTTACCAACCAATTGCAAGTTAACAACCGAAGAAAAACCGGTCATACAAGAAAGAAAAACTCTCTCTCTCTCTCTCTCTCTCTCTCTCTCTCTAAATGGAAATGGTTGGTTTGTTTGTTTGTCCCAACAAAATAATCAATCCCATTAGTTCCATGTTCGTTTTCATGGTACAAAAAGTCTACATGTGTTTTGAACTCTTTCATATGTTAGGAGTTGGAGTTGGAGCCACCTAGCACAATACTCTTAATTACACACACATATATATATATATATATGCAAATAATTGTGTGTGATAATATATATGATCATCAGAACTTAAATATCATTCCATTCGAATACTAAACCTTAGGCTTGGTAACATTACACATTCAAAAAAGAAAAGAACGGAATGAAGCTGAAATAGACAACACACCAACTCAGCCGGTACAAATTAGGTGACCCATCTAAATTCTGAGCCAGCTATAGGCTATGGTTGCCCGCTGATATTGCAGGACCACAAGCAGTTCCAATTTCCCTTTCATTTGGATTTTAAGCTTAAATTTTACCTCTTGTATCACTTCACTTGACTTCCACACCCCAGCTCCTCCAGCCCATTAATGTCCATTTAAATTCCTTCTCTCATGTTAAGGGATTGCATGAATAGAGATGGGGAATGAGGTTGCTTTATATGTTATGTCTTTCCTAATTCTATATCAAAAGCATCCACATTACTCTTACTAATAATAACAAGGAGCTTTAGGTGCGGGATAGAAATAGCCGGACACAACACAACTAGTCATGATGGTTAATCGACCGGTCTTCTCTCCTGCAACTAAAAGAGAGAAAATACATGTAATAATAATCAAAGCTCAAATTGCATTCCAATTATTATAACAATCCACTGAGCTATTGTTAAAGAAGCATAAACAGCTCATCACCTCTCATTCCTAGCAAATTCAAAATACAACCAACCAACAAGAAAGCAAAACATTCACTCATCACGAGCACATGAGGCATGAACATGAACTTAATGAATAAACTAGCAAAAAGAAAGTGCAAATTTTATATACAAAAATGCCTAGAACAGTAGTTAAAGAGTCTAAAAAGAAGACAGCAAAGGTGGGTGGGGACCCAGAGGCAAAGAGACAGCTGTATGGCAAAATGCCAAAGCCACCCTGTCAAGTGTCAACTTCATCTCATCAACCCCCACAACGTTCACTTTGGGGTTTCGGGCAGTTCAGCCTCCTTTGAAAATTGAAAATTAAAATCTGCAATAACACCTTTGAATCTTTCTCTTTCTCTCTCCTCTCTTTGAGTGTGTATATATACCCCTACCACCCACAACTATTGTCCTTACAAAACTCTGCCTCTCTCAAACTAGATAGCAACTGCAGAGCCAGAGCTTCTTTCTTTCAATCTTTTTTCTTCTTCTCAAGTCTGAGTTTAAGTGAAGCAGCTAGAAATGGAGGCAATGAAGATGAATGTTTTTGTGGCTTTGTTGGTGGTTGTGATGCTGGCCTTGTCTGGCGTTCAAAAAGTAGCTGCAGCTGATTCTCCAGCACCAAGCCCAACTTCTGATGCCTATGCCTTTTTCCCCACTTTCTTCGCATCTCTAGCAGCTTTGGCTTTTGGGTTCTTCTTCTGAGCTCATGACTGCATTTTAGGTTCATTTCATGGTTGATTGCTCATTTCTCTCTCTCTCCATTTCTCCTAATCTCTCTCTTTAATCACTTGTATTCAGTGTTTAATGAGAGGGAGCAAGGGGGGGAGAGAGGGAAAATGGGTTGGGATTTTCTTTTATATTATTTGGGAATTTCAGGTTTAAATTTAATTATTTATTGTTGATGTTGGGATTTGTTTGGGTGTGATTGATGTGTTTGTTGGTGGTTTTGTATCATATATGATGTATAATTAAATGTTAATTTTGTCTAATTTTGTTTTTAATGGGGGAATATGCCTATGGGATGTTAAATTTAGGCTAATAATAAGGAGATCATGGGGAAGAATGTGAATGTGATGTACTGCTACTTGTACTAGTGGTTGATAGATTTTCTCTATCATTGTATCTGTGATTCATTGGTTTGGTAGTAATAAATTCCATTATTCTTTTTTTTCTGTCTGTAATATTTCTGAATGGTTTTTCAGTTCACCATAAGAAAATAGATAAGGATTATATAGAAAGAGGAAAATATAAAGGGTTGTTTGTGGTGGTGAATGGTGATGAATCATGATGAGCTGTAGCTAGCCAGTTTGGCAGATTCTGATCCCCCTTGGTAGCATCCTAGCGTCATGGACAGGTAGTCCTGTGATCAAAATTCAAGAGGAGGCTAGCCAGTTTGGCAGATTCTGATCCCCCTTGGTAGCATCCTAGCGTCATGGACAGCTAGTCCTGTGATCAAGATTCAAGAGGAGGCTTGAAGTCCCTCTCACCTAAACCATGTACCGAGAAAAACAAAACCAATCGATCAAAAAAGAAAAGAAAAGACAAAATTAAAAAACCAAATACTTTGATCCTGGGAAAAATCAAGTTTGTGTCTTCGAGAGCAGCCTCAGATGTTTTAAATGAAATTCTTCGTATCCATGAATGAATGAATAAAATGACTTGATGCCTAAAATATCTTTTGTACAAGAATTTATTGTATTATTGTTTGCATGTTTTGTCTTCAATACAAAGGATACAAAGGATATTTTAAATTTCGGAAAAGGAAATCGAACTCAAATGCAAAGCAATGAAGCACAACTAAACTAATTGACGTCTGCAACTGCAACTTATTGTATTGTTTGTGTCATTGACAAGTAGGGCTGGCTACCCATAAATCATCTTAGGCATACTAGACACACAGACAGAACCCTCATATTCAATCAGTTCACATGGAAGTCGGAACGGAACAAAAAATATTTGCTCCTCTCTTTAAAACAAAAAAAAAAGTTACGTCTTATCTTCTCATACAAAATTCAGAGAAGCAATGATCAATCACATGCTTGTTGAGGTTGAGTTGGTGTAAGAAAGAAAGAAAGAAGAAGGAAAGAATGGTAGGGCCATAATTGACAGATGGAAAACTGCTTTTCCAAAAGGAAGGCAAAGTGGAGAAGTTAGAAGTCTGTCGTTGTTAGTGTAATTAGATCCCCATAGAATAGTTTACCATTTTAAGTTTCCCAGTGCTCTGCTCACTCACTACTAGTTAATGTTGCCATAATCACTTTGATCATGCATGCGTCACACAAGAACATGATTATTCACCTTCTAGAATCTACTTTGTAATTTGTATCCTCTGAAGGACAAGTGCTATGCTAGCGTGGTATGATTTTGTTCAAGAATTAATGTTAAATGTGGTCCATTAATTAATTTAATTTAATTGACTCTTTTGAGTGAGTCGGGTTAACCTTCTCTTTTTAAGGTGTCTTCTTCAGCCATAAGTAACTAGCCAAGTACTCAAATTCTTCACTAACAAATCATAGCTCGAGTAAAAATGCTCTTCCTTTTGTGCTTTTAATGAGTTATTTTTATATAATGTCGAACTGTCATTTGTTGATATTGAAAATTGGTTTTTTCTTTGAGGAGCCAAACAATGTTCTTATAATTATATAAATGATCCCTTTCTTACACATTAGAATATAAATGAGGATTTAACTGAATTCCTAAAATGGGATGACAACCTCTCCAAGTAAAGAAATCTGCACATCAAATTTATCCTTCAACAGTTCATATACATCTTTAAAATCTACACCTGTTAGATCTAACTATTTCTTCCCGGACAGCCTATTTATGTTTACATCCATTTGAAAAAATATGGCAAAATTAGCGGGCTAACATTACATCTACAATTCTATTTTGCAAAAATTGTATATAGAGGCGCTAAATTGTATCACGGCCACCTAGAGTTCACTTGGGCATTTCATTCAACAATATATTTACCAATAAATGACCAAGTGATTAACTGCCGTCTTGTTTTTTCACCCGCATTATGGCTTCTCTTGATGCCTGGAGAGGTCCTTATCAGCAAAATGCAAAAGCCTTCTTAATCTCAAAACCATGTCACAGTGAAAAGGCAGTGCAGTTCGCCTCTCCAGGTATGCTGGACTTACAGTCATCCAAGAGAGTGCATGAAGCTCTGCTGCCAGGGATTCGAGAATTATATGCGTCTCAATTTCCAAATCTCTAGCTTCCGAGCTTGGACTCCTTCCCACTTGTTTGGTATTACCTCTCATGAGTTTTTCTTGGCTAAAGTTATTACCTCCATAATGATCAATAAGACTGACCAAAAGAGTTGAAGGCCATTCTTCTTTCAAGTTGCTCCTATAATCTCTCCTCATAGTAGGTACAGCTTTTGAGACCACAAAACAAGTAGAAAGGGGAATAGCAGAGCCTTTACTGTGAAGGAGATGGGCTAGTGGAGGTGATTCAGCAGTGAGGCATGTGGGCAGCTGAAGTGGTGTTGGAGGGAGGAAACGCATGCTGGGCGATGGGATCAGAATGTAAGCAGCAGGTGTGGAACCAAGAGACTTCACAGGTGTGCCTTCCAGATACCCTGATGAGCCCACACCAACACCACCATGAGCTCCTGCACAGAGTGGAATCAATATTATGATCTGACAACTTCAAAATAACTTCTCTGATCCTCTTGGCAGATTATGCAGTCAGATGTTTGCAGTGGCTTGGTATCAAACAACTCATGTGATTTAGCTAACTGAACTATTTTCATAATAGACAATTTTCTATGCATACCAAGTAGAGAGGAAATAACTCACCTGGTGATTGCGTATCTGCTGGAAAAACAAGATGTAAAGAATGATCAATTGCAATTGTAATGAAGCTGATACTTTGCACCCACTGAAGCAAACTCCTTGAGCTGTCAATCAACTGTGTGCCCATAAGCTGCTTTCTCACAGAAGGTTGTCCTAAACCACCTTTCATAAATCCAGATATTTTTGAGTGAGAGCTGCCATACAGAGGACCAGGTGAAGAAGGTAGGGTTCTTTCTTGAATCAAACTCATCTCCTGCTGCTGCAAGGAAGGCCCGTTACTACTAGCAGACACTCCATCAGACACAGATCGCCGCAGTTGCAAGTGCCATTTTTTCACTTCTGAACCCCCAACTGAATTAATTGCTTTCTGCCACTCTGTTCACAATCAGATGGGAAAATATGAAAATGAACACCAATGCCAATTTGAGAAAAGAGAATAAAATGGTTTCAACAAATAGGCCGTACAAACAATATTCAAATTGATTGCCCCACCTCATCCTACCCAACCCCCCTCCAAAAACAAAAGGTGATTGCAAGAAATGTATTTACCAACAGAGAAAAGGAATATATCCCTTGATACAATCTTCACCTTACATATAATTCATCTTCCATTACAATTCATCAAAGAAATTGCAAAACACAGTTTCCACTCAATTAGTTGCAGCTTCCTAACAGAACCTAAACACTGCTTGAACTTTAAACAGAAAAGCATAAGAACCTTGAAAGCTAAAATGATAGGGATGAACTCTGCATACCTTGGTATTCAAGTTCGTAGAAACTTCCAATGCGTGCAATCACAAAGTCCCTCGGCTTGGCAACACCGGTATCCGAAGAGCAAGCCTGCAGTATTTGACAGCCTTGCTGCAGAACTTGCACAAAAAGACATTCCAGTCCCTTTGTGTCCTGTCTACTGCTAATTCCACCAAAAGGGAATATGTGGCTATCAAGTAACTCCCCCCTTGAATCTGTCCAGATGCATATTAGCCAACGCCAATCCTCTGTCCATCCGTAGCAACAATGTAGGCTAGGAGGAATCTTATCTAGCTCTGATCCATCAGCTTGAGAGCCTGATCCAGAATCCGCACTTCCACCTAAACTTGTACTCTGCATAAAGCCTCCACTGATGTCATCGGACAATGCCTTTGAAGGTTCTGATGGTAAATTACCAAAAGCTAAAGGTGAAAACGCACGCTCCAGAGAACCGGGTTCTGCAAGAATAAAAAGTGGTTCAAACATGTAGCGAGTCTCATCTTGAGAAAAAATCTCTCCAATTCTGTTGGGATCGCAGTTTGCTGCTCCAGTTCTTGTTGTTTGCCATGAACTATCCCAGCTACCAGTCCTCAAACTAGCATCCATCTCACCCTCTCTTGGAAGGGAATGCCCAGTAATTCGAGGGCCACCACAGTCCTTCCACGTCCCTGGAGTAGGAGAAGACATTTGCGAGAGGACTGTATGGGATCTACTAGACAGCGATGATTGGACTGCATCACTAGAGGCTCCCCGTGATATTCGGCGAGCCTTGCTGTAAACAGTAAAAGCAGTCTCCTTGAGAATTACAAGTTCATTCAGTGACGGGCTTGTAACTTTAAAAATGGCATCCACTGTCACAATCTGCAGTACCAATTTAGGAATACCAAACCCAGACAGTACTAAAATATTTGATATTGATGCCTCATCCACTGTGGCCGAGTAGCTTAATGCCTTTGAAACCTGACTGCACAATATAGATCTCCTTTCTCTGTCTGATTGGAAAATGGCTGATCCAATAGCAACAGAAGATTCAATGACAGTCTGTAAAATTGCAATAGGCTCAGGGAAGGGGCACACTACATAAATCACCTGGATGCATAGAACCAACAAAACAAGTGATGTCAATCAAAAGCAGTTACATATGCTTCATGATTATATTGCGCAATTAGCGGAAATACATTTTCCAACTAACTATAAAAATAAGGGAAAATGACTTTGCAGCGAACTCAAAAGAGTCTCAAATAGATAACTTAAGTAAGCTTTGCACTTTGGCATATACTTCTGAAGCCTAAATATCAATTTATCCAAATTATAGGAACAAAAAGAAATTTGCAAAATCATGAAAGAAAAGGAAAGGAAACAGGTCTGAATACAACAATAATTGAAGGCCTAATTCTACTCACCGTAGAAGGACCACTACTTCCTTCTTTTGCATTTGTGGACAAGCAGTGACCAAGTTTCAAAGCTTTGAGAGCCTTTGAGAGAGACTTAAGGTAGCTTGTCAAGTCCCAACCATTCGAAATAGAAAGAAAATAATCGCTTAGTGAGCCCACAAGAGATGCATTTCTACTTTCTATCTTCATTGCTTGAGGACAATCAAGTAGGACAAACCCAGACAATGGCCTTCTCCCAGAGTCAACCTCCATTTGGCTCCCAGAACTCTGGGGTAAATGAGTTCCCAGTTTGCATGTTTCATAGACTGGAAAAGAAAAAGGAATAAACAGAAAGAATAAAAACACACAGAAAGAAAAGGGGGAGGGGTTTAGAGATAAAGTTAAGGAACAAATAACTTATGTCCTACTAAACAAAGAACATCAGGAACCATGCAAATTCACCATAAATAAACGAGTTATGAAGAGCCAAGAACAAGGCCTTCTGCAAGGCCAAGTTTTATTTTCCCTTTAATTAACAACTCAGAAATTCCTCTTTTAATTAAAATATTAAAGATTTGGGAGAATAGTATGCTTTCTCCTAAGATAATTCTCTAGTCATCGTTCTCCTTAAGGACGGTCTAACTTATCTTGTTTTAGGGGTTGACCAGTCATGTATAACTCTAACATAAATTATACTGCGTTGAGCCTTTTCCAGAGGCTAGAGAAAACCCCATGCCCCTTACCTAACTTGCCCCTATGAGGGTCAGGGCAGCTGCCTGAAGCAGAATTATTCTGTAAAATTAGTCAATCCCTTGTTTGATTAGAGCTTTGTCGTCCTGACTGACTGATAGCATAATTTTTCTCCTCCACTGAGATAATGATGCAGAACCAAGAGACAAAGAGAGAACATTGAGAGGCAGAAAATGGAAAATAGAAGGGGAAGCGAGGGAAGAAGAGAGAAATAGAGGATCATGGGGGAAATATCTAGTCTATCAAAAGAGTATACCATAGCTAATTTATAGAGGCCAACTCAAAATCATCTCAAACTAAGTTCCCTAATGAAACAAAAATTCCCAATCAAATCCCTAAAAAAGTAGGATCTCCATCGGATAAGGAACTTTTGTAACAACAAAATTCTTGTAGTGCAGGAGGATTGTTCTTTTCTTTGCTATGATACTTCAGTAAATTGTGCGAACAGACAACAATACCAGTTCAAATCTTGTAAAACGGAAAAGCAGATGATAATAATCTTCATTGAACCAAATTATGACTTACCAGTTCCTAGTTGTTGGAAAAAATCAGCAGCAGCAGATGTAAGGGGATCAATGTCTGGACATACAACATAATAAGTAATCTGCAACAATTAATGAACAGAAAGTTGAAGAACCGTTCACATATACAAGCATTTCAAATATTCTTCAACACTAGACATGAATGATTTCTATCTAGCTTTTGTTGCAAATTTCAATTAACGTACAGGTTTTTGTAGAGCATATGGCTCAAGCGGAGCCTTTTCCCAAAGTTGCAGAGAGCTTGCTGATGTCTTAAGCCAATCATCTTGATACCTAATACATAGATCATCATTTGCACATTTCTGTTATATGTGAATCGTGCAAAAAGACATAACAATTATCTCAAATATGACAACAAACTCATATCCTCAAGAAAAATCAGTAAGAAGATGCCACAACACAAGCATTTCAACAAGCTATTCTCAATTCCAATCCAACTATGCATTTTCATCTGACCATCCATAAATAGAGAACTATTCACAGTTTCATGAATAATGAAGAGGTGTAAAACGAGGTGTTTTACCACCCACCACAAAACAAGGCCTACGCCTTCAGGAACTTGGACTCCTACACTTACGTGTATATACAAGAAGGTATAAAAATAGTTGGATAAAAGTGCTAAATGACACTAATCTTTTAACACCACAAACATCATGTATCTAGCTTTCAAAACATGTCCCACAAATTTTATACATAAAAAAAGTCAACATTGCCCCAATAGATGGTTGATTACAAAATTTGCACTTAGGCCCCGTTTGGTTCACGGAACGGATTTGCGGGGAAATTGCTTCCCATGTCATTTCCCAAGGGATAGGAAATGGAAGATTCATTTCCCACATTTGGTAATGTTGGGAAAGTAACCAGGAAATATCACTTTATTTCCTTTCCCATGTTTGTTTTGAGTAGGAATGGAAAACAAAGTTTGTATAATTTTCCAATTATATCCATATTAAATCAAATAAAAAAAGAATGCATTTAATGATATATTGTAATTCTAAATTGTTAATGGGGACAACATGGTCATGAAAAATGTGTATTTAATGTTGGCTCATTTTCCCAAACTTTCCCATGAGGAGGGAAAACAAAACCCAAGTTGGGAGGAGGGCTTCACTTTCTCCCCTACTTTCCCATGTGCCAGACAACGATTTCCCATGCCTAGACTTACAAACATGGGAAAGCAATTGATTTCCCATCCCCAAGCCTCCTTTCCCATGAACCAAATGGGGCCTTAAGGTATTTCTAGTTCCAAAAAAATGCTTCTTACTCAAGGTTAATAAAACTGACCATGATGGATGAGATTAAGGGACGCTAAAAATGAAACGCCGCGACACAGAGGGAGTTACTGTGTCAAGGAAAGAGAATTGGGGTGTTTAGGGATTGATACAGGTTTTAGAATAAAGACTGAACAAAACCAACACTTGACGCTTTAGTCCACTCAGCCATCTCTCCTCCCAATTGAAAAAAGATAATACCATGTTACATTATAAAAAATAAGGCTTAAAAAACCCTTAATAATTTTTTTTTTCATCCAAAGGGGCTTTTTAGTTCCACGGCCCGGCTAAGTACTGACTGAAGTTTGGGGCAAAGAAATTTTAGATTTAATTCTAGGGACACGCCTCATCCCTAAAGGCATACATTTTTTGGTACATCCTAAGACATACACTTCGCCCAAGAGGCTCCCTTTGCAAAATTTCATCACACAGGGAACAACTGTGTGTTTCCCCCTCGCTCCGCCCTAAAGCACACCTCACAAAATCCTTGAGAACACAGATAGATCATATTACAGGAAACCGTATGAGATGTACGGTTACATTACCAAAAGATGTTTAGTTATTTAAGGTTCAACTAGATGAAAGCATCATTGCACAATTGCACAAGATAAAAATAGAACTCATGAGGAAAATGGTAATATGGAGTTCAATAATGGGGTTCCTCATTGATATAGCATATTACTTTTGGAAAGAAAGATCAGTTGGTTCTGATCTCTTTTGCTATAGTACAGTTATATAATTTTTTTGGTCTGGTTTCACATCCTATGAGTTGATTATGAGGCTAACTTATATTTATCTCTGGGGTGTTGTTCGGCTATTCTGTGTAGGAGGTCATAGAATCCTCCATATTCTGTTGGAAACTCTCCTTATATATGAATCCTTGTTAAACAAAACAAATTTATGTCTAATTTCACTTCCAGATGTTGTGACACAAAAGTGGTATCGGGATACATACCCAACGAGTATAGCAGGCAACGGAATAACAAAAAGTGTCGGTCTTAGCCGGGAGGACATCTGCAGATCAGACTCAGAAGTACAGTTTTCTTGGTTTGATCTTCTTTGGGATGTCTCGTCCACTTTTGCTCCATCCATTGCACTAGAAACTGTTGAAACTCAAACTATTAGGTATAATGAAATCAGCAATATCATCAAGTACATACAAGTATAAGTATACCTTTAAGGCAAGTTGATCCAGCAGAACAAGATGGTGATGGGCTTAATGGTTCTACAATAGAAGGAGCTACAATACTTGATGAATCTTTACATTCACTTATAGTGGACTCAGCAGAATATCCATCAACTGTGCTTTCACCTGATTGGTTGCGACCTCGGCACCAATCAGTGACAGGCAATGGCCCATCCAAAATACCAAATGCAGATTTTAAGGCTGTCTTTATGTCAGACTGCAGCAAACTAATTACAGATGAAGCATGCACCTGGGGGACAAAGGTAATGCTCTGATATCTGTTTCATCAATATAATCCCATAATAAAACATAACTCCATAATAAGGTCACCTACAAGAATCCACAACGAAAACTAGTAATATACAGATGAATATTATGATTAACAACCTAATAGCCTTTCATATTATATATTGTTTCCAAAAAAACTCAAAACCCAACCACGATGTTGCTTTTCTATGGAACAAGTAATAACTGGAATAAATTTGATGGCATAACTTGGTTTCATTGAACAAAACCTTAATAATGACTTGGAGGAGGTCGTTTTCAAGAAAATTAAAAAGTATCACACTATAAACATTGTGACTGAAAGCATGATCATAATTGGCACAAGTTATATCCTAATATAGATGCCAAAGCACTGCATGCTCATCCAAGCAGTCTATTAGGACTCTAGCTTGATTATCCAAGAAACTTTCGACATATCTAGTTAGTTCTTCAAATACATTTTGCCTCCCTCAGACTGGAGTCTCAAACTACAAACCATAAGATGAAACTCTTACAAAGTGATAATTGTAATTTACGAGGCATCAAAAGTAAGTAATTTAACACAGTACCTACATAGATCCATCAAGACAGGCACTAAATACTTAGTACACTAACCCAAGGTTCATATAATAATCTCACATTAGAATTTATCCTTAATGAGGTTTGAAAGTGGAATAATAGTGAGCAACAGCATGCTATTATAACAAGGACGTCAACTTGCTAAATAAAAGAGCATTATATGCAATAAAAGCTTACATCAGCAGAGAGTGGATCAACTAACTCGACACCAGCAATGTCCAGGGAATGACAAGAAGCCAGTGTACCCCCACAACCTGCATGGACCATAGACGGCCCACAAGAAAATCCCTTCCTCCATTGCTCTTGTAACGCCAGCCAACCATAAGGACCATCACTACAATCTGAGTCCAGGGACAAATCAACAAAGGAAGTAGCTTGCTGTACAAGTAATGACAAACCATCAAGAAGTTCCTGAAGTGGTTGTCTCCCATAAGAAAGCATACTTTCATCATTGAATGAAGTATGAGGCAAGGACGAGCTAATTTCCATACTAGATGAACTTGTGGGTTTTGGGACTCTAGGAGCTCCTACGGAGCGCCAGACACCAACAGGTGCATTGAGATGCCCATCTATCATTCCTCCATCAATATCACCAGCAATTCTAACGGGTATCGATTCTTTCCTCCTCGCCTCATACTTTCCAGATATGTTTTCTGGCATGACAGTTTGCTCACCTGGCAGCCTACTAAAACCAATAGATGAGAGACTACTTGAAGACAACAAGGTGTGTCGTATTCTACACATTGACGCCTGAAATAAGATGCACTCAATTTCAGTTGCAGGAATGGTCCTCATAGATAGAAAGGAATTTTCTGATTCAAATGTGCCTTCAGTCATTTTCCTCTGTGCCGCTTTGACCGCATTTGTAGAATTGAGAACAGGGAAAGGAGATTGTGCCACCCCATCATGTGCGACCGCGATGCCATTACTACTTGTAAGCAATCTTCTGTCTTGTTGCTCTTTTCCACTCTCCACATGAGTGTAATAGTTCTTCGACCGGAAAATGTTGCTTGCATCTTTCTTTCCAGCACATGGTTTAGAATTTGACGGCATGCCAGTCTTCTCATCAAATCCATCAAAGCAAGAAGAAGGTGGTGTTGGACCATATGTGTAAATGCTCGGGCTTGAATTTGAACTCTCTGCTTTTCTAGATTTGGGCAAGTAAGGGCTTCTGAAAATGGATGATGAGACTTCACTTGTAGGTGTTTCAACAGCTCCATATTCAGGAGCAAATGTCATCAGTGCCTCAGCTTTTATTATGTGATCAAATTCACTTACATGAGATGCTGAAGAGCAGTTCACTGGACCCGAGGACAAAGCACTATTTATGGCTTCTTGATTTTTTATGAGTGTCTCTTCCATGGCTGCAGGAGGGGGAGGAATAAAGCTTTCAAAGGATGCAAAACCCTCGGACAAAAGCAACTGATCAGAAACATCCATCACCCCAACTGGGTTGTCAACTACATCGCCAAAATCTGGTGCAGAAAACATGAGAGCCTGAGATTCAGCAGTTCCTGGGGGCTTCACAAAACAAAGAAACATGATCAGATCAAAGAACCACAATCATGTCATTAAAATGAAAGGGAGGACAACACAACGCAGGTCTAAGCGCACACGCTTACACCACTATCAAATAAAGGTTGCCCTTTATTGTCATAAAAGAATTATTAAAATATAGGTTTGATCAAGCAAAAACATATTGCAACACAAACTGCAAACAAGAAGCCTGTAAAGGAAGTTCCTGGAAACATTCAATGCTTTATGAATGTATACGTAAATATCTTACAGGATAAGGAAATACCTCTCCAAAAGGCAAAACATCACTTTCAAATAAGTCACCAAAATCTCCAAATTCATTAATCAAAGCATGGATATCAGTGCCATATCTGTCATCACCATCCCAATCCCAAAGAGATCCAATCTGGTCATTTGTAACTACAGTGATCGCTGAGTTGTTGACTTCCATGGAACCAAAATCAGAGTTGTATGTATCCTGCAGAGAAGCACTTGTAGCTGTTCCCACTTCAGCAAATGACTCTGCCATCCCATCTCGTGGACGCTTAAAACCCTGTGGAGAAATAATAATCACTTATCCCACAAACTCATCCCAAATAAACAAACAGTAATAAAAGTGGTACAACATAGGAGAGCTAACGTAAACTTAAATTTATTCAGTAAATAGACTTTCCATCCTTTTTTCATAAAAAATGAACTTTATTAATCACTTCAAAATACAAGAGCAAAGCCACTAATAAAACTCGTCAGCCCAAAGAAATGGTGAGATGCTTAATGGCAGGTATAATATTCTAGTGATATCATCAATGTTAATGAGAGAGCTGAACTTTATTAATAGCTTAAACTGAGAGAACACCAAAAACTAGGTTAAGTACAGCCCTCCAATCTGCAAAAATAACAAAATACGGTATTTCCCAAAAATTATAAGAAACCAAAGACCAAAGTGAACTCCAAATGGTCTTTCCCATAATGCTCCCCCCCACAGTTATCACAAGAAAACAAACCACAAGCTTTACACACAGCTACATGTTTTTATAAGAAACAACTTTCACCCATATTATATCAAAAGTGCATCAACCAGTTGACCAGGAATCCACCTGAGCTACATATAAAATTTTGAAAAATTAACAGTTATCACACAGGATATAACATCGCTATTAAAGACAAAAGACCAAACCAACACAGATGTCATGCACACCATGAATCTCTGTCTGCACTCATGATATAAAGGAACCTTTTCCATAAACGCATAATATGCATCACAAACTAAGATATTGCAAACTGTTCTCCCCACTAGCAGTTGGATTTTCAAATGCTAGTTAACACTATGTTGAGGAACGTAAAATTACCACATTGGAAACTTGACAAAATAAAATACAATACGTAACTTAGTGGTTCCACTACCAATAACACCGAAGCCTTTTGTGATAAAACCCCAAACCTGGTGGGCTATGCAAGTTGGGGACAGTATCGGTGTTGGACAGTAAGTAGTGTGTCATGGTCCGTCTCTCTGAAATCTTAACACACTAGTCCCAGCATGTCGTGAATAATCCACTTAGCTGACTAAACTTTAAGATTGCTTATTTAGCTTGAAGTACATACCAATGTGTGTCCATATACCATAGGTGAAAAAACTAAAGAAAAAAACTAAAGAATAGATGATGTACCAATTTGGAGATATCATTTCCCAACCGATTATTAAAAGATAAACCAGACTGTCTACAGGTTAAAGAATCAGCATCTGCCTCTAGTTCACTGGCTCCTGTAGCCATTTTGTCATCACTATCGCTGGAGCTGCTGCTTATGCTACTAATGCTGCTACTATTACTGTTGCTACTACTATTATACCCACGTTGTGTGCGAATCCCATTGGTTTCGTTGCATTCCTCCATTGGTTCTATGCTGTCAGAACTGCAGAAACCAGAACAGCCATAAATGAGAGATATAACATTTAGCAACAGTGTTTAGACCCTATCTATAATCATCTTGTTATATGAACCTCAAAATAAGAGAGTTTAATGACCAGACCAAAACCATAGTCAAAGGTCAATATATATATTAAAAAAAAAAAAAAAAAAAAAAAAAAAAAAAAAAAAAAAAAAAAAAAAAAAAAAAAAAAAAAAAAAAAAAAAAAAAAAAAAAAAAAAAAAAAAAAAAAAAAAAAAAAAAAAAAAAAAAAAAAAAAAAAAAAAAAAAAAAAAAAAAAAAAAAAAAAAAAAAAAAAAAAAAAAAAAAAAAAAAAAAAAAAAAAAAAAAAAAAAAAAAAAAAAAAAAAAAAAAAAAAAAAAAAAAAAAAAAAAAAAAAAAAAAAAAAAAAAAAAAAAAAAAAAAAAAAAAAAAAAAAAAAAAAAAAAAAAAAAAAAAAAAAAAAAAAAAAAAAAAAAAAAAAAAAAAAAAAAAAAAAAAAAAAAAAAAAAAAAAAAAAAAAAAAAAAAAAAAAAAAAAAAATGTAGGTGTTGATGGCTTATAAAGTTCATTGGGTAAAGTTGGATTTTCATGGGTCCTGGTTACAGTTACAGTGGATGGGATCCTAGCCCTAAAACTCTGTTACTCGTTGATTTGTCCGTATTTCATTGGCAGCAGGCGATCTTGAGCATACTTGCGTACTGAGACTTTAGGATGAAGTGTCGTCCTTAATTGTTGATGAAATTAATAGTGTGATTGCGGAAAATAAATTATGGCTAAGCCACTTGACTTGTGTATTGGTCCGGTTGCAAACTTTTGTCAAAAGTTCCATACATTGAATGGAACCACCCCAAGCGCAATGTTTCTAATTTACTTATAAGAATAATGCAAGGGGGGGGCACAAAACATGGCATCCATTTACGAATTTATCATAAATTCGTAAACTGTCAATCACCACCACGTAGATTGTATGGGGACCGTAACACGCAAATAACCCGTTTACTCTAAAAGGCACAGGGGGTTTGCCATACCTCACCGCACGAGGAAAAAGCAAAAACCCGGTCTGTGTGCGCCAATTTTAACCCGTGTTCCCGCTCCTCAAGGGGCGTAACAAGCCCTGGATCACTCTTCTTGCCTTCCACGGTCCACTGCTCTGTACGTTCCTTTCTACTTTGATTTTCATTGCCTTTGATTATTTTTGTTAGCAAAGTTAATGCGAGGCGATATTTAAGCTATTGAAAGTTTTTATTTATTTCATCATTGAAGGTCATGGCGGCAAGGGCTTCAAGAAAATTACTAAGAGACTTTTGTTCAGAAGGCATGACACAACTCCTATTGCAGGTGCACGACACGTTCTTCTGCGGCAGAAAACTGCTCCAAAGATTTTCATTTTTCGAAGAAAGTATGCGCTCTCTCTCTCTCTCTCTCTTCTTCTTCTTCTTCTCCTTCGTATATGTATGACATTATCTTTTGGTTGCAAAGAATCACAGAGGAAGAACTATGACGATTATAGTTTTATTTGTTTCCAGCAAAAAGGCAAACCCATCTCACCAAAGTGGTGCCTTTTCATATATATTGCTTACACTTTCATTTTTAAGTCAAAATTTGTTGGAAATTCAATGCGTTATTGTTTGATTTTGAAGTGCTGTCTGCTTATTTGAACTGTAGGGGAGGTTGTTGACGGGAACCACCTTAGGCTTAGTTATAGGCGGAGGAGCTTATGTGAGCACTGTGGATGAAGCAACTTTCTGGTACCTCATTTAAATCTTTAAGTAGAAGTTTTGCTCTGTTTGCATTTAACCTTTCACACGGTTACAATTATGGTTGCAGTGTTCAGCATTTATGTTTAATTCCACTTACTGTTACCTATCAGCCAGAAAAGTATAAGCATAAACATGTGGAATTCTGTTAAGGCAACCTCTGATGCTTGAATTAAAAGTCTGTCATGCTGTATTGCTTGAAAACCTGTGTGGTGTAAGCGTGTGTTTGTTTGGTTTTTGGGGCTGGGGGTGAATTTCTCTGGATTTCTCCTTGTTACCTAGAAACTTTGGAATTACACTCCTAGTTGTAAAAGTCATAAATTTCTTTTGCTAAATTAATAGCTTTCGTGGGACATTAGACAAAAATTATGAATTGTCATTTGTTATGTTCTGCCTCATTCTTGCAGGGTGATGAGGTTGTTCATGTTATGCTATTGTGTACTTATTTATGTGGATGAAGCAGAAACTGTGTAATTCAGTTTATTTATCAGTAGTTAGTTGACTGGCTTAAGTTTTTTGTGAAATGTTGAAGTTTAATTTTAGTTACGTTTATTGCTAATTCTTGGATATCAAATTTTTGAAGTGGGCTGGCTATTCTCAGCTACAAACTTGTGAATCCATTCTTCGCTCTTCTGGATCCAGAGGTTGCTCACAGACTGGGTGTCTCAGCCGCAGCACGAGGTTGGGTTCCTAGAGAGAAGAGACCCGATCCATCAAATTTAGGGCTAGACGTTTGGGGAAGGAAGTTCTCCAACCCTGTAGGTCTTGCTGCTGGGATTTGATAAGAATGCTGAGGCTGTTGATGGTTTACTTGGTTTAGGCTTTGGCTTTGTAGAGATTGGCTCTGTAACCCCGTTCCCCAAGAGGCAATCCAAAGCCTCGTATCTTCAGATTGCGTGAGGAAGGGTAAGAGTATGTTTTGTGTTATCTATTATGTTCTGATTAAGACCTGAATTGCCTTGAATTTCTTGTGTTAAGTCAAATTTTCTATTCACTTTTGGAAGGTGATTATGGTGCTTTAGCTTCTGAATCTTTTTTTCTTTTTTTCAAACTTGAGCTGGGTTATATTTCTTGTTCTAACTTATGTGCTATCAATCTACCTGATGTTGTGTTCAGAGCTATCATCAATCGATGTGGCTTTAATAGTGAAGGAATTGTTTGCTGTTGCAAAGCGGTTGGGTGCTCAGCATGGTAAGAGGAAGTTGGATGAAACTACAAGCTCTCATCTTCTTCAGGTGAAGAAGTCAAAACCTGGAGGCAAAGCTGGCCCTGGAATACTAGGGGTGAATCTTGGGAAGAATAAGACAAGTGAAGATGCTTCTGCAGATTATGTACAAGGGGTTCATACATTGTCCCAGTATGCTGATTACTTGGTAGATTGTTCTCTATTGATTTCTCATAGTCTAGTAATTTTTCTGTCTGATATTTGACTCTGCTGCTTTGCAACTAAAGACGTGTTCATTCCCTCTTGTTGGAAAGTGCATCTTGATTGCAAATGTTGGTGCCCTAGGAATAGGATCTCCGTCTGTCCAAAGGAGGTTGCGTGGAGGGTAGTTCTGCTGACTGAAGCATAATTAGGAAAAAAACACTCTCTTCACTGTCCAAACTTGTTCTTTCTTTTAACAAGAGTTCACTTTGTGGTTGTACTCACAAATGCATCAACTTCATCACGATGCCTGTGTTAGTATGCTGTTTTCATGGCTAAACATCTAATAATATAGGTTCTTGTTATGTTGCTTCTCCACATGGAAAAGCAATAAGAGGTGCATTTGAATAGGCCTCTTGTTGTGGTCTTTTGGTTGGTTCATTCATTTGATTTTGAGTTGTATAATTTCATACCATCTTTAGGCTATTTTATCAGTTGTCACAAATTATACTACAGAATTGGTTACATATTTCCTTGTCTGTTGATAAATGATGCCAAATATGTCTTTTGAGGGTCACAATCAATTTACTAGAGAATAGAGATTTTGGAAAATAATTTCTTAAAAGCTCAGATGGGCAGCAATTGTTCGGAAGTCCGACTTTTTATTACTTGACTAGGATATTTGAACAATCAAATTTATATCTGGAAATGATTCAGATTAAAGTAAAACTTCCTCAACTTCAGTTGTGAAAGCTGAATTTTCAGTGGGTTGAAATAGAATCTTGCATCATTTCTGATATTGTTCCTCAGAAGTTGAGTTTTCGGTAATAATTCACGAACTGCAAGCATTAAGGTTTTAGTTTCTGCATATACGTTTCAAGTTCAAATCCAGTTTCATTAATTCGACAATATTTGTGCTGATCTCTTTGCAGGTGATTAATGTTTCATCACCAACACCCCTGGGTTACGTATGCTTCAGGGAAGAAAGCAGTTAAAGGACCTTGTGAAAAGGGTATGGATCTCAGAGGCATGAACTTTCTCTATCTATATAATTGATCACAATGTCTGCAAAAGTTAGCTCTTATAACTCTTTCTTCTATCTCAAGGTTCAAGCTGCTCGTGATGAAATGCAATGGGGTGAAGAGGGCCCTCCTCCATTGCTCGTGAAAATTGCTCCAGATTTGTCTAAAGAAGACCTTGAAGATATTGCTGCAGTATGCATTTATGCTCATAATTGATTACTTCTCTCATCTCCCCCACCACACCCCCCCCCCCCCTCTCTTCCTTAAATGGTTTCTTATGGTGGTTTGTTTATGGACATAGGTTGCCCTTGCCCTTCGCTTGGATGGATTGGTATGTTTACTTCCTATCACACGCTTCACAGTTTTTATTGTTACCATATCCATATCAAAAGTTTCCACTCTTATGAGCTATTTAGTGCAATGATAACCATACGGTGTTCTACGTGTTAATATTAGAGTATAGATTGATGACTTTAATGTTCAGTATATTATTTACCTAAAAGTTAGTGCCATTTGTTCTACTCTTATGAGCTGTTTTTATCTTGTTTATTCTAGATTATATCAAATACAACTGTTTCACGATCAGATCCTGTTACTACAAACCCAGCGGCTTCTGAAGCTGGTGGCTTGAGTGGAAAGCCACTCTTTAATATCTCTACCAGTCTCTTAAAGGAGATGTACATTTGACGAGGGTACGTTGCCCCTTTGTAACTCATGTAACCTGTTATTCACGATACTCACACTGGGGGTAGATTGCATAGAACATATCTTTACAAGATGCCACTTATTTTTATGTTATATTATTGAAAATTTTGAAGATGCGTGAGTATGTTGGCTTGATATGTCATTCTATTGTTGTCATGACCCATCATCCCATTGTGGCTTATGTACATGTGAAGTTGGACTATTAATTTTACTTCTTTACCCTTGCATTAGGAAGTACAGAATTATGAAAGCATAAAATATCAGTATACAAGCGTCAAATTTCATGTAGAGTAGCTTATAATTGTTATTGGGTTTGATGAATATGACGTCTAGACACAGCTGGACACAAGTGGCCGAGCGCACCTTAGTTTAACTGGTGCCTAGCTGAGTTCCTTTTATTTATTTTTACTAGAGAATATTATTGGCTTGAACCTCTTAGTTGTTATTGCTAGACATTTAGGTCCTCTTTTGGATGTTATTTGAACTATTTGTTTAAATTGTATGTTCTTTCCTTTTGGTTTCATTTTATGCCTATGTATCAGAGCTTGAACCTGTTAATTTAATATCAATCAGGGAAAGATTCCTCTAATAGGGTGTGGGGGCATTAGCAGGTAAGATCAGAACAGCCCTTTGTTGATATTTTTCATATTTTAATTATTATCTACTTTTTCACCCCTTAATTGGACTTTGTTTATGCCATTGATTTAGTGGTGAGGATGCTTACAAAAAGATACGAGCTGGAGCAAGTCTTGTTCAGCTTTATACAGCATTTGCCTATGGGGGACCTGCTCTCATCCCCCAGATAAAGGTATTTTCTGATGTGCTCATTCTGCAGAAAACCATTTTTTTTTCACCTAATGTCAAGGACGTGCTTATAATAGTCTTACTATCTTTGCTTCTCTCTCTCTCTCTCACAGGCCGAATTGTCTGAGTGCTTAGAAAGGGATGGTTTCAAGTTCGTTAGTGAAGCAATTGGTGCAGATTGCAGAGTGGCAACGCCAAAAGCATAAACAATAGATATGCGATGAACTTATTTGCAGAGCAAATTTTTACATTGCATGGTGTAAATTCTGGTTTTTAAGCAGTCTTATTTTTTGTACGGGAGTCGCTGAGGAAATTTTTTAGAGGCATTATTTGTAGTTTGTACCCGTAAACTTTATACTGAATACTAAATTTAATTGTAGGCAATGGAAAAGAAAATCTGCTGCCACTCCCGGATATGCAAGCTCAGAGTTAGTTAGCGCTGATGATATGTACAAAATTGGATCCATTCTAGTTTCTATTTTGTTACTCCATTCAGCTGGCTTGGACGTGCTCTCACATCCACTGAAAAATAACAACTTGCTTTATGAGAAACTCGTCTTATATTTTATATGCACCTACCTCGAATAGCAACCTTCCTTGCTTTATGAGGAACTTCCGTGCGGCTATACGGTTAACATTTCTTTTTGAGAAGCCACTGTTTCTATGTTACTATGTTTGATGTGTGAAATCAAAGTTCCAATGATTACTGCATCAATACAGATGGTAGTTTTTTTAATATATTTATTTTTCATTTAAGTCATTTTGTGTTGCTAGATTTTATCTTTTTGAACCAGAGCAATATCATTCACTCCAAAACTAAAAACAATATAAGAGAAAACAAATGGCACATATACTCCAAACCAAAGGAAATATCAAGGCAGTTACTATGGCTGAAATCAAAACTTGCAAGGAATCGTACTGGTTACTTGCATGCATCATCAACCAACTGATGCTTCCTCATTTATGAAGTCAGCTGAGCTGTTTTTGCTGTGTCCTTTCGAGAATGAACGAATACCAGTTTTTGAGCCTGATGATAACATTGCTTGAGTGATTCAACGACCTAGCAAAAAAACAGTATCAATAAGTTAAATAATCATTCTAGTACATACATTACACAAAGGAGAGCCCAAGGAAAGAGAAACCTCCTTGTAGCATTTCTCCATTCTGCAATTCAATACGGGCTGTAAAATTCTGCTCACTAATACCAATATACTGCTGTGCGAGGAGCACAGGGCGATAACTAGAATCAAAGAAGAACACTCCTGCTTCTGGATTCACTCTGAGACACTGTGCAACCTGGGTGGTTGTAAAAGAATAATCCGCATTAACAATAAACAGAATAGACTTCAGAGAGTACGACATTTTTTTATTGGGTTCGGATACTCTGCTTGACTTTTATTATTTACATGTCCGAGCCTAATCGACTCTTTAGTATTCCAAAAATGGATTTTAGCCTCCATACTTCCTAGTCACAACATGATTCGATAATATCAACTACTTGTTGGAGTTTGAATAAAATACATGAACTTGAGTCCTACATTGGAAAAGAAGAGAAAGTCTCCACTCCTTATAAGTGGGAGTCTTCCCACACATGCTATATGGAAGGTGGGCCTTGTGGGTTAGGTCCAGTTATGTCGCACTAACTGTATATTGCAATCGAAATTCTAATCGTAAAGCCCTAGGTCGAGTTACGTGAGTATCCAAGACTAATCGAGTCATAAGTGCCCCATAGTAGTTTTGTGGTTGGATTTAGGGTTTGAAGGCTCAAATCCATTTTTGAAATACTAAAATAATTTGCTAATAATTGAAACAAATTTTACAATATATTTGGAAATTAAAAATAATTTTAAAGTCCCCAAAATTATTGAAGATAAGTAAATATAATTAATTACTCTTTATTAAGTATTTTATGAAATTAGTAAAATATTTTAAAACTAATTATTCACAAAAGAAATAATAATTCAAACATAATTACTAATTAAAGTATTAAAAAAGGCTAAGATACCACTTAATTACAAAAAGAAAAGCAACAAATATTTTTACCGTATAGCCGCACGGCTATACTCTAATATGTTAACCGTATAGCCGCACGGCTCTACAGTTGAAATATTCAAAAATATTTAGACAAATTTATAAATAAACCCAATCATAGACATGTATTTATAAAAAACCCAAGTACTAAACATAGAAACACACCCAAAATCAACAATTGTATATTTTTTGGGTGTGTTTATAAATGGGTTTTGAGTGTGTGTAATGATGGGTTTTTGATGTGTTTATAAAGTGTTTTGGGTGTTGAGTTTTTTTATAATTTCAGCCCCCATTTTGGGTGTTTTAGTAAAACTCCCAAATATTTAAGTGTACAGCCGTACGGCTATACTATTTTTTAAAAGAGAGAACCGACTAGCGAATAGGTGGCCACGTGTCAAAATCGGTATAGCCGTGCGGCTAAACTGTTAAAACAAATTAAAAAAACCGAATATAGCCGCCCGGCTATACTATTTTTTTTTAAAAAAAAAGAGGACACACATGGCGGTTAGAGCATCTCCAACTGATATGTAAAAAGTGCCACATAGACATTTAACGGCTATAAATAACATCTCACATCACTCCAACCGAATTGTCAAAGCTGATGTGGAATGAAGGTTGGAGGTTCAGCTGTTATTTTTGACATCCCAAAAGCAAGATGTCAAATAAATATTTTATTATTTTTAAAGACAGATGGCTATGACTTTCATTTACAATTTTACTTTTTATTTTTTTTCTTCTTTATCTTTAATGATTTGACTGTTACAATAATTATTTATTTGACATATCGGATGGAGTGTAAAACTGTTTAAATATCAAATTGCCACATCAGCCATCAAATTTAAATTTGATGTTTGGTATTTGACATCTTCCTTGGAGATGCTCTTAGGTGCCCACGTGTCAAAATATGTATAGTATAGCCGCGCAGCGATACTATTTTTTAAGAAGGATAAAACCGGGTATAGCCGCACGGCTATACGATCTCTTTTAAAAGAAATATATAATATGAAAGACTATTAGGTTGTTAATCATAATATTTATATGTATATTACTAGTTTTCGTTGTGGATTCTTGTGTGTGACCTTATTATGGAGTTGTGTTTTATTATGAGATTATATTGATGAAACAGATCAATATCAGAGCATTACCTTTGTCCCCCAGGTGCATGCTTCATATGTAATTAGTTTGCTGCAGTCTGACATAAAGACAGCCTTGAAATCTGCATTTGGTACTTTGGATGGGCCATTGCCTGTCACCGATTGGTGAGGTCGCAACCAATTAGGTGAAATCACAGTTGATGGATATTCTGCTGAGTCCACTATAAGTGAATGTAAAGATCATCACGTATTGTAGCTCCCTCTATTGTAGAACCATTGAACCCATCACCATCTTGTTCTGCTGGACCATCTTCTAGAGATTCATCACGTATTGATGATATTGCTGATTTCATTGTACCTAATAGTTTGAGTTTCAACAGTTTTCTAGTGCAATGGATGGAGCAAAAGACCGACACTTTTGTTATTCCAAAGAAGGCAAACCAAGAAAACTGTACTTCTGAGTCTAATCTGCAGATGTGCGCCCGGCTAAGACCGACACTTTTGTTATTCCATTGCCTGCAATACTCGTTGGGTATGTATCCTGATACCACTTTTGTGTCACAACATCTGGAAGTAATTGCACATAAATTTGTTTGTTTAACAACAAATTTGTTATTCCGGCCGGCTATACTAGTGTTTTTCTAATTTTTTTTAAGAAAGAAATAGTATGGCCGACCGGCTATACGCCCTTTTTTTAAATTTTAAACAGTTTAGCCGCGCGGCTGTACGCGGGTTTTTTAATTCGTTTCAATCAACTCGTCTAGCCGGGAGGCTATAAAGGGTTATGTCTAAATTTTTTCAAGGAAATAGTATAGCCGATCGGCGATACTCGGTTTTTCTATTTTTCTTTTAAAAGAAATCATATAGCCGCCGGGCTATACCCGGGTTTCTCTAAATTTTTTAAACAGAAATCATATGGCCGCATGGCTATACACGGTTATTTCTAATTTTTTTTACAAGAAATAGTTTGGCCGGAAGGCTATACGAGGTTTTTATTTTATTTATTTATTTAATAAATATTATAGCCGAACGGCTATATGAGGTTTTGTCTAATTTTTAAGAACAGAAATAGTTAGCCGTGTGGCGATACTTGAGTTTTTCTAATTTCTGGCTACACTCGGGTTTTATAATTTTTTTTTTTAAGAAATAGTTTAGCCGCCCGGTATATATGTGTTATTAAATTTGTTTCAATGAAAATAGTATAGCTGTCCGGCTATGGCGATTAAAAAAAAAACAATTCAAAGAAATAGTATAGCCGAGCGGTTCATATGCGGTTTTTCTAATTTTTTTAAAAGAATAGTATAGCCGCACGGCTATACTATTCTTTTATAAAAAATTAGAAATAACCGCATATGACCGCTCGGCTATACTATTTCTTTGAATTGTTTTTTTTTTAAATCGCCAATAGCCGGACAGCTATACTATTTCATTGAAACAAATTTAATAACACATGTATAGCCGGCGGCTAAACTATTTCTTAAAAAAAAAATTATAAAACCCGAGTGTAGCCAGAAAATTAGAAAAAACTCAAGTATCGCCACACGGCTAACTATTTCTGTTCTTAAAAATTAGACAAAACCTCATATAGCCGTTCGGCTATAATATTTATTAAATAAATAAATAAAATAAAAACCTCGTATAGCCTTCCGGCCAAACTATTTCTTGTAAAAAAAATTAGAAATAACCGTGTATAGCCATGCGGCCATATGATTTCTGTTTAAAAAATTTAGAGAAACCCGGGTATAGCCCGGCGGCTATATGATTTCTTTTAAAAGAAAAATAGAAAAACCGAGTATCGCCGATCGGCTATACTATTTCCTTGAAAAAATTTAGACATAACCCTTTATAGCCTCCCGGCTAGACGAGTTGATTGAAACGAATTAAAAAACCCGCGTACAGCCGCGCGGCTAAACTGTTTAAAATTTAAAAAAAGGGCGTATAGCCGGTCGGCCATACTATTTCTTTCTTAAAAAAAATTAGAAAAACACTAGTATAGCCGGCCGGAATAACAAATTTGTTGTTAAACAAACAAATTTATGTGCAATTACTTCCAGATGTTGTGACACAAAAGTGGTATCAGGATACATACCCAACGAGTATTGCAGGCAATGGAATAACAAAAGTGTCGGTCTTAGCCGGGCGCACATCTGCAGATTAGACTCAGAAGTACAGTTTTCTTGGTTTGCCTTCTTTGGAATAACAAAAGTGTCGGTCTTTTGCTCCATCCATTGCACTAGAAACTGTTGAAACTCAAACTATTAGGTACAATGAAATCAGCAATATCATCAATACGTGATGAATCTCTAGAAGATGGTCCAGCAGAACAAGATGGTGATGGGTTCAATGGTTCTACAATAGAGGGAGCTACAATACGTGATGATCTTTACATTCACTTATAGTGGACTCAGCAGAATATCCATCAACTGTGATTTCACCTAATTGGTTGCGACCTCACCAATCGGTGACAGGCAATGGCCCATCCAAAGTACCAAATGCAGATTTCAAGGCTGTCTTTATGTCAGACTGCAGCAAACTAATTACATATGAAGCATGCACCTGGGGGACAAAGGTAATGCTCTGATATTGATCTGTTTCATCAATATAATCTCATAATAAAACACAACTCCATAATAAGGTCACACACAAGAATCCACAACGAAAACTAGTAATATACATATAAATATTATGATTAACAACCTAATAGTCTTTCATATTATATATTTCTTTTAAAAGAGATCGTATAGCCGTGCGGCTATACCCGGTTTTATCCTTCTTAAAAAATAGTATCGCTGCGCGGCTATACTATACATATTTTGACACGTGGGCACCTAAGAGCATCTCCAAGGAAGATGTCAAATACCAAACATCAAATTTAAATTTGATGGCTGATGTGGCAATTTGATATTTAAACAGTTTTACACTCCATCCGATATGTCAAATAAATAATTATTGTAACAGTCAAATCATTAAAGATAAAGAAGAAAAAAAATAAAAAAGTAAAATTGTAAATGAAAGTCATAGCCATCTGTCTTTAAAAATAATAAAATATTTATTTGACATCTTGCTTTTGGGATGTCAAAAATAACAGCTGAACCTCCAACCTTCATTCCACATCAGCTTTGACAATTCGGTTGGAGTGATGTGAGATGTTATTTATAGCCGTTAAATGTCTATGTGGCACTTTTTACATATCAGTTGGAGATGCTCTAACCGCCATGTGTGTCCTCTTTTTTTTTA